TTGAGAAATACAATTTTGATGGACTTGACCTCGACTGGGAGTATCCCGGTTCGAGAGAGGGATCCAATCCTAAAATCGATTCTGTAAGTACCCTTCACGTGTAACGCGCAATCATATATTACCGAGTGCAAATTCTTCAGCTTAGCGAATAACGTGACAAGTACGTCTGAACTCTAAACGTTGGTTCTTAATTCTTTCTGTAAAACATCTTCAACCGTCAAAGTCCAAAATCTTGAAAGTGTAATATCCAAATTGGATGCCACAGAGTGGTGATTTAATACAGAAGAATAAATGTATACTGTCCGCCAACATACTCTAGGCTACCCGAATCAGTGGTCACCGCAGTGTGAATCCTATCTGTAAGCATGGAATGGAATGTTGCTAATTTTTCTTAAATCTAGACCGATGTTATCAACAACGTCAACAACAAAGAACTAGCACCAGAAGAATTTTGGACCAGTGTCTAGGCGTGCATGTCGCATTATTGGAATGCTTAAAGTTGTGCTATATATTTGTATTGTACTGATTTCATGGACAAGATTTTCTTTTTGTTTTTAATTTTTTTTTTATGTACCGAAACAGGTGAAAGTCACTAAATCCGGTCTGTATCGGAATTGATAGAAAACGTCCCATTTGAACTTGATCAAAAGCTTATTTGTTTTTCGATCTGTGTGAGGTCGAGCGTTGTCATGGTCAAACTGAACACCACGTATCACAAGATCACCAGGCATGTTCTGAATCGCTCTTCTTAGTATTTTCTTAGTAGGTTGTAGAAGTGACGGGGGAACCAGATTCCACAAATTCAACGGCCAAGCTAGCACGAATAATGCCCAACACTCGTCGTCCCAAGCAGTGAGCGTCGGAAGGTGTTGTAAGGGGTAGCACAGTCAATCATCCTGTATCCCGTACCCGCTTGGCGGAAGGCCCTGACGTACAAAAAATATCAAACAACGATGATACAGCACAGAGAAAGGCGTGGCTAGCGCGTATCGTACTGCCTCAACGCGTGCGCTTTAGGTCATCACCGCAATACTTCCCCTCCATTTGATAGCCAAACAGATGGTACAAGTATACCAAGGCGACAGGACACCAGCCGAGAATAAAAGGAAAGTGGAAGCAAGACTGATGATCGAGTTGCGATCTGAGTGGGACCAAACAACTGTCACGGCACGGTGGTCGAAACGGCTGATACCAGTGGTAGATGTTTGGGCGGAGTGCAAGCACCGCCAATTAAACTACTTTCTTACCCAGGCATTAACTGGGCATGTGCCATTCCGTAGTTACAGGAAAAGAATGGGGCATATCGCTGATGACGAGTGCTTAACCTGTATGGTGGAGGAAACTCTTCAGCATGTCCTTTTCCACTGTCCTAGCTGGGAGGCATATAGAGTAGAATCCTGGACCAAGCTCGGAGCGCTATTAACACCGGAGGATGTGGTACAAGAAATGATCCACGCAAAGGATAAGTGGCAGACCATCGCCAGAATGACCAGGGACATCCTGAGTAGAAAGGAGAGAGAACAGTGGCAAACCAGGGCAATGGGACAAGAGGACCGAAACATTCAACCTCCCCTAACTCCTAATCCGGTCGATCCGGAAAGCGAGACGTAGGGCGAAATCAAGAAAATGATGAAGAAAAAGACAGCCTGCGTGTGCGAAGTTATACCGACAGTGGCAGTTCCAGCATGTCAGGAGGTTCATAGACCAGCTCGCTCCAAGTTGCGGCCTGGCAACGGTCCTGGAAAAAAACCATCATGAATTTTGAATGTGGCTGAAATAGCCAAGCCAAATGTGATGTGCAAAGTATTATCCTGCTGCAGCAAAACGCTCATAAATGAGTATTTTCTTCCGTAACAGTATCATTTTTTACCTTAAAATGGAGGAGAAACCTATATAAATATTATTGGAAAGTCTAAATTCTAATGAAAAGCCATTTTCACATCTGTAGTATGATGGAAGTTAACATGATTGTCATGCCAATAGTCCACAAAGTTGTCTATTTACGATAAAATGTAAGGCATATATTACCGTAAATGGTTACATAATTTCATTCATCAATTTAAATTATTCCCCAGCAACAATCCTGTCTTTTTTTGTCTTCAAGACATAAAACTGACCCTAGTCCATTATAATTGCAGGTAAAGGCGTCAAGTAGGTGCCCTCGCAACGTCATCATCAGTTCATGAAAAAATATATTATACATAAGTTAGCTCCTTTCAGAATGAATTGAATAGATCAAGTCAGTAAATTATCATCAAGAAGAATTTTTTTGCTATCAAGGCTGTCATATAAATTCATTCAAATAAAACAATAATACCATGTTGTCTAGCTTCACGCTGAACTGATATGGTCCACTGTAAATTACCATTCGGTACTATCAAAAATTCATTGTTGGAAAGAATCTAATTCATCCCTAGTTCCCATCAATTCGACCAGCAACGGAAACGTTGCTATCGGAATGGCGATGAGTATAACCGATACCATCGAAACACACCACGACGCACACAGTCGCCGTCACCAGCGCAGCGGCAGCGACTAGATCCATTTCTCAATGCGGGTATCGCAAGTCATCCTACTCATAAATCTTATCTATATGTGAAATATGTTTAATAGGTGCGAAAAATTACCGAGGTTAGAAGTATGTAGATATACTAACGCACAAAACACAGATACACCCTCCCTCACCCCTACAACCCGCACGCCTAATTTTCAACCCACGAAAATGTTCTCTAGAACGTATAAATATAGTTTGACCGACTTTTTTGGTTTTATGCTGTAGCTCCGCCGATACTGTACCGATTTTCAAAAACTACATTTTTTTTTTTCGTCCTTGGCATAGTAGCAACCTTATTTGTGTGAAAATGTCATCAAAATCCAAGCGATACTTTCCAAGTTACAGACGGGAAAGAGAGTCATGGTTTTTGTGATGTATTTTGTACATGCCCGAAAAATATAATAACTTATTTCCTAATTGTTTCGCGATTACAATTCTTCCTAGCTAGTGGTGTGCCGTCAACGTATTTGTTTTTAAGCGTTATTATCATTATAATTATTATTAACTTGTATGAAATAAACAAATAGACCCGGCGCGGTATGGAAGCGTTTAAGAAAAGGATCTGAAACATCTAGTTCGTTATTGCTACAGGAATGACCCAATTTCCTTTTTCTCAAATTCGACACAGGCAGCAGCGGTGGCGTAGCGGTCGACATTATGCGTCTACTAATCGATCGCTGTGCGCTGCGTGGGTTCGAATCCCCTCCCAAGAGAATTTTTCTCTTGGCAGTGGATGTTGCGTTTGTCCGTAGGTGGTAGACGGTTTCTGACTGTCGAACGTGGAGGCACTACACGACGGATCTCTAAGGCGCGGCCAGAATGTGTGCATGTTGCATGCACACGTGTTCTCTCGCTAGAGTCCGTGTGGCGTCCCCTACCCTTTTCCCCTGTATCTGTCTATAGCCTCACGATACGAGCGTTTAGGCATTAGGCCTGCATTGTGGTTAAAAAAAAACAAATAAAAAGTCTGGTTTATTTATCTAGCGCGTCATATCTTTTCACCTAATTCTTTGCCAGAAGAAGTGCCGGACTTGATATCGCAAAACTGTTACCTTAAGAATTTGGTGTATGTGTTACTAGGAAAAGTTGTTTACCTTTACATGAACTATGCAGCGGAAGATCCCAACTTTGAGAACACCCTGTGTTTTCTGTACAACCTAATTATTTCTACAGATTTATAATTTAAATTTTAATTAATTTGTTAACAGGAATGACATACATTGGCATCAAGTCAAATTAGGTTGGAGCTATTATTATTGTATTTGTAATGTGCACATTGGATTTATGCCCATGCATGTTCACAGACAATTTTATATCAAAAAGCAAAGTGTTTATTATGAAATTTCTAACAACTTGGATGCTCAATTTTAATAATTGTGTAAACTGTTAACGATTTTAAAGAAGTGCTGTGAAAATCCGAATAAAACAGTATAATTTTCATTGAAATAGAATTACCTAAGTTATTATTAGGCTGATAATATAGAAACCAAATAGCTGATGATATAGGTCTACAGCAAAATAAAAAAATCGTCACGTTTTATGTGGTAAAACAGCATCATGTCTTGCTGTGCGTTATTTGACCGGGAAAATATGTGAAAACATAATTTTCAAAATATACTCTGACAGCTCCGCGGAAATAAAAGTCTATCAGTTCATAGGGGAAGAAGTTCTCCATGTATGTTCGTAGTTAACGGTTACCTCATACATATTACAAAAAAAATGGTTACACCGGCGTAATCGCCTTGAGTGGTGCAGACAACGGTCACTCTGGGATCAGGAATGGAACAGTATTGTCTTTAGTGACGTGTCTCGATTTTGTTTAGGCATGCACGATGGTCGTGCCAGGGTTAGAAGGCGACATGGTGAAAGGACGAATCCACAGTTTTTTGTTGAAAGACATGTTCATCACACTGTTGGAGTTATGGTTTGGGGTGCTATAGCTTATGGTTCCAGGTCACCTTTAATCTTCATCAGAGGTAACATGAACGTGCAGCGTTATATCCACGAAGTTCTAGAACCCCATCTTTTATCCTATCTTGACACCCTGGCAGATCCAACTTTCCAACAAGATAATGCCCGACCACATGTTGCAAGAGTCACAATAGACTTCTTTCAACATAATGATGTCACATTGTTACCATGGCCACCAAGATCTCCCGACTTATCCCCTATTGAGCACGTGTGGGATATGATGGGTAGGAGAGTGCTCAATTTGCAACGTCCTCCTCAGACTCTAGAAGCACTCGAGAGGCGTTGGTGGTTGCCTGGAATGAGATACCACAGGAGGACATTGACCACCTGATCAGAAGCATGCCTAGGCGCGTTGGAGAATGCGTAGCACATCAGAGTGCATCCACACATTATTAAAGGTCAAAGGGCTTTAAAGCAGTGCAATCATTTTGAAATTTTTATCATTTACTTATTATGCTTCATTAAGTACTTATACAAAATTTTATTAAAATAAAACCATTTAAACTGGGTGTTCGGATTTATATGTCACTTAGTATATGTACTAATAAGAGCGTTGAATACCAGACATAACCGCTCCTATCCCCCACAACCTCCAAAGCCCAATTTTTAAACCTTATTTTTTTTCCGAAAATTATCAGGAGCCTCTGAAAGTATGTGTCTACGAGTACTAATCAGACACCGTGAGCTGCGCCAATCCGTCCCAAATGATTTTTTCTCTTGGCTTTGCATGTTGTGGTTGTCCGTAGGTGGCAAACGATCTTGGACTGTCTATCGTGGAGGTACCACCCAGCGGATCTCTAAGACGGGGCCGGGATGTGAGCATATTGGATGCACATGTGTTGCATCGCTAGAGTCCGTATCGGTCAAAAGATGTTATTGTCGTATACATACAACAAAAATATCTCATTTTTGAGATTCTTCGCGATTTCATTACTTCATCGCCAGTGGCGTACGAATGACAAATAACAGTAAAGTGCAAATAACAAATATGTTATCATCTGAGAATTTCCAATATTCAACCAACTTTTTTGACTAATAGGCATAGTGATCATACTTAATTCTCTTACACTACAGAGTGTCAGTCAGCTGTGAGAACGTGTTTTCAATAAAATTCAGGTTTTCGTATGATTTGTATATGCGTTTCTCACCATAAATTAATATTGAGTGGGATGAGATGCTCAATTGCTCAAAAATTTTATTTGTAGAAATTCTAAGGAATTAACGGAATACCAATTTTTCAACAAAAAAAAATAAATGTTGATAATCTCGAAAACTATAAGACTTTTAATAAGAAGTGACTTATTCGCAGCTGCAGGATTATCCTTCACTTTTTTGACAACCTGTATATGTTTTTTTCTGGGTTATATTAGTTCCATAATTCCAGCAGCTTCCTTTATTTGCTATGTTGGTTATATTAATAATTTCAGGACAACTACATCACCCTATTGAAGGAGCTAAGAGCTACGCTTCAGCCTCGTGGCTACCTTTTGTCAGCTGCAGTGGCTGGAGGTATTGAAAGGATTAATTCTGGATACAAAGTAAAAGAAGTTTCAGAGTAAGTGCGAATAGCTTCATACCAAAATAGTAAAAAGAGGAAACAAAAATACGCATTTTTTTATATCTACGCTGAATCCAAATAAAATTGACTCTACCTTATTTGACGCTTCGGCATGAATACCAACTGTTCCAAAACCGTTATACCATATACGCTTCGATTAGTATCATTTCGGAACTACAGCTCTCGATTATACTCATTGTAGAATTGGGGTATCGGTACTGATTACAAATAATTCTCAACTGCCCTACCTTAGTGCCATTAAAGAATACCTGGAGATTTTATAACAATGAAAACGTCGCAAAGGGCTGATGATACTGATAATCGATATCTAAGGCAATTTAATTTATTCTCACAACTGGTCCATTTTCCACTCGCTTGCCAAATTGACCCATGTACTTAAAGGTACAATCACAGTCTTTAATATATTCCAAGTTTCATTGAAATATGTATTTCATCGACCTTAGGGGTGTTTTTGAACACAATTGAATCAGTCTTTTAAAAAAGCACTTTTATTTTTCCAACATGCTTTCTGGATATTAATGCATGTAAGTCAATACATTCCTTAGATTTCAAAGAATACATTTAGCCTAAAAGGTCCTCTAAAACTAGGGAGGCGCAAGTAATATACATGACTTTGTAGCCTTCTTTTAGTACCAAATAACTATTGTTTTCAAAAACATGAATCTCACGGCTTCGTAGCTGTCTAGAATGTATAAAAGTAAACAGTATCAGGTAAGACTTGTGTAAGTAATAAAGTGGATATAGCGTTATTTCGTGCATGGAAGAGTTGTGTGAAATGGGGAAGAGATTACAATTTCATAATACTAAGGTACTGCTACCAAGGTATTTTCTGCTTGTGCATTGCTATGTGTCTATGGGATAGAAAGATTGCTATGCCAGCGGTCAATAGCTCAACGGTTGAAGAGACCCAGAATGGAGCGTTGGATGTCCACAGCTCAAATAGCGATGTAATTAGAAAATTTTAGTATTTTTAAATGAACTTGAATGATAAAAATTATCCGTCTTTTCAGAAATAAAGCTTTGTTGTTTAATGTTATTTAATAGGCAATTGCAAAGTGTACTTTTGCTAATTAGCAATTGCATTAATTACAATATTTGAATATTGTAATTGGCGATTATTAGAAGAAGGTCATTAATACATATAGGTATGTACCGCTCTTACATCGCAAAGTTCTATTATCTTGTTGTCAACTTTCAGGCGCACAGTAAGTAACCGAGTCTCAAAATCGCACTCTAACTGCATATTTCTCAGAACTTCACCGTTTTATACGTAATGTTCCATGTAAAATGAACGGCATGATAATTTTTCATAATCATTTATAAATATAACCGACCCCTTCTGGACAGAAAATTAAATTTTCCCCTGTACTTACATGTACCGCTCTCAAGTGACGGCATAGTGCTAGAAGTTATTTTTTCATGTAGTACTATCGTTCTGAGTAGGTTTCCTGCTGTATCACATGACCCCCCATTTTTGCCCACAGCTATTATGGCAAAATATCACACTGGCCGGCAGGGCGACTGGGCCGCTACACTATGAACCGTTGTTGTGGCAACGTTGTGCTCTGAAACGCGATGAGTACGTGTGTTCAAGGGATAGTGGGCAAGGCGTATCATTTTATCATGAATTTGTTCATTGCACTGCCACCTTGTGGATTATGGTCTTTCAGGGGGTAGGTATGAAGGCCGTTAAGTGACAATACATAAAGTCGATTGCAAATATACTATTTCCTACTATTATACTATGTATATAGTAGCAAATTAATGTTTAGTAGAAAACTAGCATCGTTTAGGTGTTATCCCAGTAACGACATCTTTTTAAATTCTGAACATGAAGTTTTTTTTTGCCGATTTACAGATTCTCAAAATCAGGGGCTAATGAAACATTTCCCCTGCTTCAGATTTCCGGCTAACGGTAAAAAACTTCTGCTTAAAATTCAGAAGTAACTGGAAGCAATAAGTGTTTAAAAAGGTAGCGTGTAATACATCATACTGATGGTAGAGGGCGCAAGTGTAGATGCATAGTGAAGTTTTCTGTAAAGAAACGATTATGAGGTTTTGGAAATGGTGTATGTATTTAGGATATCTATCATTTCTTTCTCAAAATAAATTAAATAAAAGATTTACTTGTTTTGAATTGGTCTGCATGCGTATAGATTCAGTGTTATTTGATTATTGATACCTATGCTATGTGACAGAATTATTGCTGCATATGCTCCAATCAAATATATCTGTCAGCTGGAAAGCGTGCGATTGATGTTAGCTAGTCGAAAACTGCGCTGAAGAGGGCATTGAGGGACAGAGAAATAAGAACAGGCATTATATTCTGCGACCAAAAGGCTTGATAAAGACTCTCTCCGCTTGGAATTTGTATCCTGGATCAAATATTATTAGTAGAATGTTTTGCTTAACAAAGTCTGGCTATGGATTCATTTATACTAAGTGACATATAGATCCGAACACCCAGTTTAAATGGTTTTATTTTAATAAAAGTTGGTGAATGTATTTATCTTACTGTCAATAACAAGTGAAAAATTTTTCAGCCTTATCAGTTGGACATTCCGGTTTTTATACTGCTTTTTTTTAATTCACTAACGCTCTAAAAATGAATATTACAGCCGCAGTAAAGAATCAACGTTGGCGGATTTTGGTTCTTGACATCCTTTACGATCGGTTACGATGCCTAGAGTACGGAGACCTGTACGATTTCGTCAACTTAGTGAGTTTGATAGGGGCCGTATAGTGGGACTTCGGGAAGCTGGACTTTCTTTTCGGGCAATAATTGCAGTTAGAGTGCAAAGAAGTGTAGACACTTTGGTTAGGTGTTGTGAGGCATGGCTTCGAGAAGGCCGTACGCAAAGAGCAAGGGGCATTGGACACCGCCGTAGAACAACAGACCGTGAAGATCGCCGCCTAAGATTATTGGCCTTAAGGGACCGTTTCTCCACTACTAGGTCCATTGCAAATGAATGGTTTGCAGAACACGGAAGACCTATTGGCATGCGAAGTGTTTACCGACGAATGAGAAGTTTGGCTTGTTTTCATACCGGCCACACTGGGTCCTCCCTTTAACTCGAGAACACCGACGTAATCGCCTTGAGTGGTGCAGACAACGGTCACTCTGGGATCAGGAATGGAACAGTATTGTCTTTAGTGACGAGTCTCGATTTTGTTTAGGCATGCACGATGGTCGTGCCAGGGTTAGAAGGCGACGTGGTGAAAGGAGGAATCCACAGTTTTTTGTTGAAAGACATGTTTATCACACTGTTGGAGTTATGGTTTGGGGTGCTACAGCTTATGGTTCCAGGTCACCTTTAATCTTCATCAGAGGTAACATGAACGCGCAGCGTTATATCCACGAAGTTCTAGAACCCCATCTTTTACCCTATTTTGACACCCTGGCAGATCCAACTTTCCAACAAGATAATGCCCGACCACATGTTGCAAGAGTCACAATAGACTTCTTTCAACATATTGATGTCACATTGTTACCATGGCCACCAAGATCTCCCGACTTATCCCCAATTGAGCACGTGTGGGATATGATGGGTAGGAAATTGCTCAATTTGCAACGTCCTCCTCAGACTCTAAAAGCACTTCGAGAGGAGTTGGTGGTTGCCTGGAATGAGATACCACAGGAGGACATTGACCACCTGATCAGAAGCATGCCTAGGCGCGTTGGAGAATGCGTAGCACATCAGAGTGCATCCACACATTATTAAAGGACAAAGGGCTTTAAAGCAGTACAATCATTTTGAAATTTTTATCATTTACTTATTATGCTTCATTAAGTACTTACACAAAATTTTCTTAAAATAAAACCATTTAAACTGGGTGTTCGGATTTATATGTCACTTATAACGTATAATTGAAAATATGATTTCTAATACCATTTTGCTGGTTATTATGGTTAACATAAGTGATCATAACTAAGAATTATACCAGCAATGTATCAAACAGTATTTTTGCAGTCGTTTTTTTAACTCAAACGTATTTGCAGGGTGTATTACTTTCATTCATTTCTATGTCGCATTATCTGCATATTCACCACTACAAGCACGCTTAACTGTCTGCGTTCCTTCGGGCTTTTCTAGCCAAGCTCCATATCCTACGTCGTATATGATTTTTCTGATAGATTGCCCAGCACTTCAACAGTTGTAAGACAACTCAGAATTGATCAGTACTACTTATTTCAAATGTTATTTTATCTATTTCAGACTTCTTGATATGATAAACGTAATGACATATGATTATCACGGATATTTTGAGAACTACGTAGGGCACGGTGCACCATTGTACGCATCACATTACGACGTTGGACCAATTAATGTAACATTGAACGTTGTAAGTATAGATACCTTCCACAAATGGCATTTAGTTTCAGGCAAAAATCTCTTGAATAGCTGAATTTCAATTTATGCATCATATAATATAGGATTATTGAAGGCTAAAAATACTCTTTGACTTTAATTAGATTTGCCTTGCTCTCCAGTAAATTTATTTAGCGGTACCTGTTTCTTAAATGTAAAACAATAATTCAAGGAGTGATTCTATGGACTATTCTAGAACCATAATGCTCTTTGAGGAAAGGTTATCCGTTCCAGAGATACAGGGCTAGTAATATTTTTGAAAACGACGTTTTTCAGCAATGATCAAATTTGTAGCTTCTGGATTGGCAACAACTATTCAAAATAACTCTTTTCGTGATAAACTTTAGAACTTTTACATATACACCATGGCGATTTACATTGAGACACTTTAAGAAATCGTTGAGTAGATCGAAGAGAATCTTCTGGTCTGTTCGATCCCCGGACTTTTAACCCCTTAGAGTAATTCCCTATAAAGCCACCTAATGTTGTTTGTTGAAGTTTACATTACTTCAATGGATGATAGTGGTGTATTTCAAAAACTCTGCATTATTTGGAGAGTGCATTTCATTAGTTTTTTTTAGATAGAGATATTAAAAAAGTTCCCATGTAATTTTTGCGACATTTTTGAATATATGTTTCACCTGTATCTTGGAAACGACGCTGTTTTTTGGAAACAGGTAATAGATAAAATAGTCTTCAAGGAATTATCCATTGAATATGTATCCTATGTTTAGGAAACACACTGTGAGTAGAAATTTAAAACAGAATAATATTTGTAATTTTAACAGGCATCTGGAATAGAGCACTGGCTAAAACTGGGCGCTGATTCAACAAAAGTTAACCTGGGAGTAGCAACGTACGGAAGAAGTTTCACCTTAGCGGACCTCAATAACAGAAAACCTTATGCACCCATCACAGGAGGTGGATTAGCTGGACCTTACATGAGGCAAGAAGGCTTCCTTGGATATAATGAGGTATTAGATAGCAATAGCAATACATTTAAATTTTAATTCCAGCTTAAGTAGTATACATTAAAAGAAGAATACTCGTTTTAACTAAGTACGGTAAGTTTAAAGAGAGGACACTGCGTAGAATGACTTTGAAATCCGACTGACTAGGTTTTCCCTTCATTACCCTTAGTTTGGGGATTAGATTGTTGGCGGTTACGTTACAATGTCATACGAATTACTGAGAAACAAAGGAACGTTGTTTTCATTCAATTTTTGAAAAATAATCCAAAGAATTTATCTGAGACTGTTGACATTGTAGTTGTATATTCAGGCATTGCTATGTGTTATATCGGAATTCAAGAGGTAAACTCCAATCGCACGCCCATGACAAGAAACTCGTCATACGGACATACGGTGACGAGAAAATCTATGCACTTCCTACGCAACGCCATCAGTTCACAAAGGACTAAGTTTTCCGTAATTTAAATCCTCTGAAAAAAAGTCAGTCACGAATATGCACAACCGAGAAATTAAACCGCTCAAGACAGTCAAACCGGCCCATTGAACTAGTCCTTAAATATTCTTTCCCTGCCGTACCGGGATGCGTATGTAAACCACTTGGAAATGTAATACCGTACTCAGTAATGGAATTTAAATTGAGATATGAAAATTCACTGTGTAACTTCATTTTCAGAACGCCTAAATCATTAGCGAGGCATGTAATGACACTTGATGACAGCCCACTAATTTCTAACCGCTTTTACTGCGACCATTTTTTTATTATAAGAAACGTTATGGATTCGCGGTAGCCCATATATCGTGAAAAATATATATTCTGCCAATTTTGAGCACTTATTGTTAACCAAGTAAAGTAAACAAACAATGAATTATAAGAATGACATGTGGCAACACCCTTTAGTCCCAAAGTTTTGAGCACAAGAAGAAGACATGCGATTCCAGAAGGTACTTTGCCCTATTTCCGAACGCATGGAACAGGTACGTCAAACAATTACCAACGCAGAAATTGTTACAATCACAAAGTACACTCTGTAACAATTCACGAACGCATCCCTGTAGTTACTGTCTACCTTTCAACGTTGTCCCTTCCATCTGCATGGCAGGGCCCATCGCAGCACTGCCGTCGAGGTTAGATAGTAGGAGTACTCGGATTGAAAACATTTCTCTTCTAAGGTTTAAAGACAAATGTAAGAGGAAATCGATGACGTGTGGAATATGGCTATTATCGAGGTTGGGAACTTATAAATATACTAACATCAAAAAATGTTCCCATGTACACCCCCACCCCCAAATTTCAATCTCAACAAAAAAAATTCTAAAGGAGAGGCTTAAAAACGCTGAAAGGGTTTGATCGATTTTTATGTTTGCATGTTTTTGCCCCGAAATCCGCCGTCACTAGACCGATTTATAAAAACTACCGAGCTTTTTCGTCCTTGAATTAGCGACGGAAATGAATGACATGGTTTTTCATGATGTACATGTTAGATAAGATCCAAAAACCATATCTCATTTTTCCTGGGCCACTGCAGTGGCGTAGGTATAAAGAGGGAGATGGATGCAAGAAAGTAATTTTCATATAGTTTTACTGTGACCCGGCAAAAACCGTGGAAAAGCATATAAAAGTTGTTTTATTTTTGCATATTCCCTTCATCCATTTTCCAAAATATGATGCACCGTTGGTTAACGGGGCTCCTACAATCACGAGTACCATCTGCTGAGGTAACGGGGGGGTGGAAAGGAAACGAGGGTGGGCAGGTCTTAGATGGTTGTCGGCGCTACTTTAAAAGAGGAAAGGATGACTGCGGGTGCGTGCACAGGTAAATTTTTATAATAACAGAGTCGGATTTCGATTAGCGATCTAGTCTGTAAATCATTTCCTATTTTGGTTCTCACCAAGTGATCATTTAGTATTGTTCTACCCTGGTTACTGTTCGTCGATATTGTGTTGTTGAATAGTTGTGCTGTACTCTTGTTGGTGTGATTGTTCTTGGGTGCCTTTTTTATCAAGGTTGATAATGGACAATAAAAGGTCATATGCGACAATTTTAGTTATGAATGCAGTGAGCTTAATTCATGATGAGGACAACAATAATGTGGAGCAGTTCAACTCTATAATCGCAAAATACATTGGGATAAGCGAATGAGTTATTGCAAGAAGAGGTCATACCATGGAAAATGTGCTGCAGCTGTAGTGGGCCACAATACCGAGCGGCCTGTCTATGTGGTCCAAATACATTTGCGTGCTAACCTTAGTCCAAGCTCGCTTATCAGTAAGATGGAACGAAGACTCAAACGCAAGAAACTTGAAAAGAAACTCAGACCAAAAAAAGCTGATATAAAAATAACTAACAATTCGGATAGCAATTCCAAAGAAAATGAATAGTTTTATGGCGAATTCAGTCAAAAACCTGACATTAACTACATTGATTTGGAGGTTACTAAGCGAACATTTTTAGGGAAACTTAAAGAAAGTGACGACGAGATTTTGCAGATTGAACAAGTCACCAAATCACAGGACTGTACTTTGTGGCGTCTTCAACGGAGGATAAGGTTGACAGCGTCTCGATGTGATGAAGCTTGTATAAGAAGGCAGACAACAAGCTGTAAAGTTCTAGTAAACTCCATCATATACCCAACAGAGTTTTCAAGTAAGGCAATAAAAAAAGGCAATACAAAAATCTTTGGACACGGCAGTCCAATCTTGTGGTTTGTTTATTGATCGCACACATCTATTTCTGGCAGCATCACCTCCATCTACCTATTACAGTAGACAAGACATGTACTTAATCCAGGTATAAGCCTACCTATTTATTGCTTTGCAAAAACTACCTAACTGTTTCCTCTTTTTTTGACTGCATAAGATAGTTTTATGACCTTCGTTCAATTGTTACCATCTACCACATGACCCTTGTAAACATAATTTTGTTTATTGACATGAACAAGCGAATTTAAATTTGAGTTCTTGAATTTATTTTAGGAAAGATATAAAATTATTTGAAGCTATTTTTTCTTAGTCGGAACGCACCGTCACGACGCTTGGTTGAAACAGTAGATGAATTTCGCCCAAAAGCCGATTTGCACTTCACAGTTTACGTTTAATTTTTATTATTTCCAAATGAAACTCTTAAAGCGTTCTAAAGACAAAGTCTACAGGGTGTCAGCGATCCACTTTTTCGATTTTATCCACTAGGATCTTTTTAAAATATCAAGAAGTTCAACACAAATAGTAAGCATTTCAACCCAACATAATTCCATGTTCCACGCTAAATTCCCCTATACTTAACTGGAGTGATATCCGAATTTATTCTTCCCTACTCTCGGTAGTTGCATATCTGTTGGCTCTTGGTGTCAAACTTACAGAGCAGATACCGATTTTTTCAAATCGTGAGCACATTATTCGTCGGATTTTCGTTACTTAAATTTCCTGTAATCACTGGGATCAAAAGCTTCTTAATAATAGAACGTGTTTCACTGATTTCGACCCCCCTTTTACGCAGTACAATTTTTTTATGTCAATGATTAGGAACCCCTGAAACGTCCAAAACGGAGTTTCAGCAATTGTTACTTTTTCTTTTTTGCCTATAGCACCGTTGCCAGTGGAGTAGAACTACAAAGCTTTGGCAGTGTGGAAATTTCATAAAAATCCGAGCGGTAATTTCCAAGTTGATGATGAGTGATACAGTTTTTCGTGATATAGATGCCATATGACTTAAAAAAACATTAGGTGCATCTCATTTTAGAAATTTTTCGCGATTACAATACTTCCTCGCCAATGGCGTGGGAAGTAACACGGCTTTAAAGTCGATGAGTATCAGCGATCGCGATTATGAGTACCTATTTGCAGAACGAGTTATCTACGAAATATTATATGAAATAGGGCCACCAAATTATCTGAATACGTCCTTTTTTAGTCCGTACATTGCGCCGGAACGCTTGTGTTGGCGGCACAAAACACTAGACAAAATTCGTCCAAAATACGATTTGTAGAGGTTTGCGCGCTTCAGAATTGACGCTTTATTTTTTGATATTTTTGGATGAAATTTTCACAGTGTGCTGAAAACAAAACCCCACAGGGTGCTATAGAGCCACTTTTTCATTTTTTTGACTAGGTTCTTTTTAAAAAAATTGAACAAAAAAGTGCGACTTCAACCCATCATAAAACTTGTGCAAAAACAAAATTTTAAAAAGTGCTCCTATAGCACCCTGGGCAATTATGTTCTCAACATACTGCATGAATTTCATTGAAAAATATTGAAAAATGGAGTGTCAGTTTTGAAGCAGCTGAACCCTTGTAAATGGCTTGAAACTCACTACGTCGGAGCCGCCTTAACGTAAAATAATATTCGAGTGTAGGCTGTCTTTTGTTATTGCTTTAATCGATATACTTGCATAAATATTTTGTTCCATATAACGTACCTACTCATTGGATGAAAAATATATTACGTATGGATGAGAAACATCCCAATTACGAATAAATTTCCAAACAAAATGAAATGTACCTATACAAAAAGTTCTTAATACTTCTTAACGATCGTCACCATCCAATCATTAGCCAAGCTGAGTTTTATCCTCATCCCATACGATGAAGATGGCAGAAGACCCCTACGTCTCTGGCTCATAACTGCTCGACATTCTGCGCGACACGCAAGGAGTCTAAATACTAAGTATGCACAAAGCAAAGCAGTAATGACTTTCTATGCAAATATGCATAAATGGAAATAGTGAATTCGACATGTTTGCTAATCATGACTAACCGCAGACAGCACTGTGCCGTGCTCGTTAGCAATTCATCATTGCGGTATAAGTCTAGTCTTGGAGACAGGCAAACGAGAAGCAAACAAACTGGGTATGGTCTTTTGAAAAACTCAAGCCATTGTGCACAAGTTTTGCGCTATGCATAGATGATGTCTCAGAACCGATACAATCGCACGTCACGAAGTCGAATTATTGAGTACCCACAAGACAAGCCAGCAATGACTTTTAGATTTGTACCCTTTTTCTTTCTTATTCATTCGCCTTGTCTGTCTTTTCTTGGTATACAAATGGCGACAATTAATAGCGTAAAATTGTATGTAGTCAACCCACGAATCTGTAACAATACATACAATTCACAGATAATAAATAATAAAGTTGTTTCACTGCCTGACAATTTTTCTCCTGACTATACGCTAACTAGTCTAGACACGACAAGAGAGCCGCTAGCTACTGCGTACCGAGAAGGCGTGACTTTATTCAAAAATTCGCATGTCTTCCTACACTTGACGAGCTGTACCTACTCTTTGGTATAGTCACCAGTCATGTGTAACGATCAATGTATAACTAGTATTTAATCAGTTCTAATTGAAAGTAATGTAGAAGACGCATTTGTCATGTTATGCTCCATTGTCGATGACAGTAGTGCCTCGATTTGTTTGAGATGTTTCGCAAATTACTTAGTATCAAACATTTGTCCAATCCTGTCTTATATTCTTCAAACAGCTGAATAGATTTTCTCATACAACTAAAAACACTCAATTAAGTTATATTTCAAACAAAAAGGAAACATCTAAATACGTTAACCTGTTTAGCATCAATGATGTATCAGACAGGCAAAACCAGGTACGCCCTTTAAAAAGAAGTAAACTCCTTAAAGATCACGTCAGAAACGTGTTAACAGAATATAACAAAAGCACAAACACACAAAAAATATATAAAGGAACACACTGATCCTAAGTAATCAGCATGTGATTTATTCTTCTGTATAAACACACAAAATGGAAAGTTCATTGCTACTTTCAGTGATTTCGATTTTATTTTGTGTATTGTAATCAAAGATAAATGACCCCTAATCATTCATTATTTCGATGTTGAAGGTTTTCCAATAAAGGAGAGTAGGTGTTGGAATAAAGCCCTGTCGTGTAAGGTATTAACGAAATCCTTTCTTATTCAAAAGACTCATGTGCCGTACGTAACTTTGTATGGAATGGAGATCTTTATTATAGTTAACCATCTGCCGGAAAAAATCTGCATCAAACAACTTATTTATCTGGCAACTCAAGTCTATACCAATAAGTCGCGATCCATCGATGCCCTTAAAGTCAACATGACCCAAGCTATTGCTTAAATTCAGTCAGATCTTGGAAGATCCTAAATGAATAGCGAATCATTTTGTAAATCATTTTACCAACGTTGGCAAAAATATGGCCCAGCAGATCTTGAACTCTAATCATAACTGGCAATCATTTAATACGCTTAGGTTGAGGAAGTCTTTTTGCAAAATACAGATAAGCCGGAGGTGGCAAAGGTAATACTGATATTGAGGCCGAGGCAATACGCAATACAGTGTTAATACGTAATGAAATCGCGGAACCCCTATCGTACTTAATAAACTGGACATCCAACATTGGTCACTACAGCAGTTATCAAGGCTATTCATAAAAATGGTGATAGATTGGCAGCTAACAACTACAGGCCTATAGCACTTTTATCAATATTTGCTAAAATATTCGAGAAAATATTCAAAGAAGGGTTGGTCAGCTGTCTAAAGAAAACCCACATAGTGTCTGATAAGCAATATGGATTTATGGAAGGACGTTCAACACAATATGCCATTAATTATTTAGTTTCTAAATTGTCCCAAAAAGTGGATGAAAATCGTAAAATAATATGTGTATTCATAGACTTGGCTAACGCATTTGACACCGGCAGTCATGAAACGCTTTTGACAGAGCTGGAAAATATAATAAAGAGCTACTTGTCCAATAGATCACAATATGTAAGAATTGATGAAGGGAGAACATATATTTAGCAGACCTTTACAGGCAGTCAATAGAGGGAGATATCGTTAGTTGGGACGAAACAAAATTACATGTACAACGAGATTTTGTGAAAATCAAGCAATGGTTCGATAGCCGGAAACGGAAAATTCAGCAAAACTAACTTTATCCCCTTCTCTTCTTACACCAACAACTTGCCTTCTTACAAAGCTTTAAATATAACACCAAATGTGATATTGTGTCGGTGCAAATAATAATGCATCTTGGAATATATTGATGCCCACATTGAGTATATGATAGGAAAGATGCACACAGAACTATACAATTTCAGATATCTCAGTAAATTGTTGGATATTCCACAGCTCCATATTATGGCCTAGCTCAAAGTCATCTCAGCAATGCTTTATCCAACAGAGCTATTGTTCCAAGAATCAAATAGTATTGATACTCGTCAACTAAACGGTACTGACAAACACTCATACTGACAGAAACAATATGAGAACAGTGAAGCATATATGACGCACGGAAAAAATCTTGTCCCGAAACCAGAAAAAAATGTCTTACAAAGGTCCTATAGCTTTCTGGGACCTAGGTTTGTGTTATAATATGCTCCCGGAAGAATAACAACAAATAAGCTCACTTAGACTATTTACGAATAAAATAAATTAATGGATAATGACTCTACCAAGGTGTCATACAAATCAAATTACTGCTCTAAAAAACTACCAAAGCAAACAAAAAACCTATATTAGACAATATTCCCGAATATGTAACATTGACCCGAATTAAGACACTAGAGATACTAGAATAATACAAAAACGGGCTGGGAAATATTCCCAGATATGCCATTTTACCTGAGTTGAGATACAGAATATGTCACACTAGAATGAAGAAAACCATATTGTGTTGTATTGTCGTTAGTATATTTTGTAATTCTTTTTACCCGCGCACAAGGGTCACCCTTCTGCGGCTTTTTCATTTATTTGTCTCAATCTATATTTTTGGGTATAGTGCATATTTCGAAGACAAACAAATATTACAATTATTATCTATCCGACAGACTCAATGAACATGAAGCTTTAGAATCCGCGCCACTGTAAAAAGCCATACTCCATAATAGGAGATACATGAGCCTTTCAAATAAGAATTCGGTAATACTACAGACACAAACACACAGTTTCATTTTATTTCAATATTTGCCCGTCCTTATTGAAATATATATACTTAATCATTCATTCTGATATCCGTCTTCTAGATCTGTGAACTGCACTCTGACTGGACATACGAGTGGGACGATGAAATGAAAGTACCATTCAGATACAAAAGTGACCAACTGGTGGGATATGACGACGTTAGGTCCATGACAGAAAAAGTCTTGTACGCCAATTCAAAGAAGCTTGGAGGGATTATGCTTTGGTCCTTGGACACAGATGATTTCAGGGGACTATGTGGTCGAGCGTATCCTCTACTTAAGACTATTAAGGAAAATCTCAAGTGAAACAGCTTATGAAATGTATACGGTTGAAGTTTTGTATTATGTAGTTTAAGTGGCTTTTAAAAATATACTAAATCCTTAGTAAGCTGTCTTTTAGCATCATTTTCTATGCAATGCTGGCCATAGACCTTTACTCTGGTCGAGTTCAATGTGTGCGAGAGAAGCGTGCAATGCGTATGTTTGGAAGAGAGCTCCAGACAAGTATAGTCACCATGTTACCTGGTAACGACAGTGACGAACGTCACGGAGCGCTGTTTGGCGCACTCTTTCTAACAGACGTTTAGCACAATTCCCCCTCTCTGTCTCTCTCTCTCGCGTACACATTGAGATCGATCACGGAAAAGATATGTGGCCAGCATTGTATAGAATCACAGAGGACTGAACGACCTGTACTCTGTAGTGGAGGAATAATATTTTATGTGTCTTGCCAGTATTGTTTATATAGGTGCACCTATTACAACGAGTCGATATCGATGGACCGACCTTGCTTTGACGTAGGGAGTCTCTAGGTTTGATGGAAGTCAGGCCGTAAATGGTATTTTGCGACATCCATACCATTCACTGGCAACTAACAGTAGTAACCGATGTAAATCGGCCCAATTTGCTGATATGCATATGTTTGGCCGATGTGACTGACCAATATGGGCTGCGGATATAGATTGTAACATTTTTTTATTGTTTTGATCACTAACCAATAATTTGAATTTCTCTTTATTAATGATAGAGTGCCGATTCTTAGGCCAAACCCTTTTCAATGTTTTTCTTTTGGCAAACTTCATAGTTTATTGATTATATGATTTCATACGGATTATGTATTTCTATCTTAACGACTCAGTTTTGTGGACACTAATGTTATTATATTTTATTAATGACTATCTCAGAAATTTCCTCATAATATATCGTTGGTCCCTGGTAGACTTGGTTTTCTAGGGTCCGCGCATTGGCAACCAGCACCAATCTGTCTTTTTTTTCTCCGTACTAACCTATATAAGAATATTTAGTTTCCTATCAAAGATATCTTCAAGGCCACTCATCTAGTTTTCTTTCATGAAGTTAGGTGTTTCATGTCAGTCACTTTCCTGTTGAGGTTGTGATGCGTGGGTCGTTTGTTTAACTTCCAGATTCTGGGATATTAGGCCCCAAACACCAGTTTATGAGGTATCACCTTTTTATTTTGTACCTTACGTTTAGTTGTTTTGGTTTGGGTGCCACCCCCTCCATTTTTTTATGGGATTTTAACCTTCAGCGTGGGAAGGCATTGAGAAGAACCACCGTCCACACTCCTCCAGCTTTGTAGCTGCCTGGTAGCTGTTTTGCAAATGTTATTACTGGGAGCCACCCCTTTCCCTTGAGAAAAAACTCTGGTCACATCAGGTTCCCGTCACAAAATCACAAACTCAGTAGTAGAAAACAAATGAACTGTCACCTGGAAGACATAAGTATAAAATTATTGTCCTTGTCATTCTGAGCTGTACTTTGAAAAGATCACCGTGGTGTAAAAAATGTCAGGAAAGTAATTTCTTCATATATGGTTCCATTTTGCTAAAACAATATGGACTTCTTAAAATTAACAACGCTTAATGCCGTTGAATTAAACACAACTTTTAATATAGCAATAATGTAACGGCCATTTCCTCGATTCAGTTTTACCCGAAGCGTTTAATGACTGGATTTTGGTATACTCGTCTGTGTGATAGTATTTAGAAAGATTATATTTGATGTATTCGCTGTTTTCCTCCAAAGAAATGTTTTTTACGTAGTTCACAAATTGCACTATCGATTTCGTCAGTTTTCTTATCTGTAACTTTGAAGAAGTATTCCCAGGCAACACAAGTTTTCCTTATTTTTGACATTTTCGTATATTATTAAAACTTAATTCCACCAAAACAGAAGAGATCTATACAGTTACTTGTACAAGTTGCAAATCTATTTTTGTATTTAGAAACTGTAGCTTGTCACTATTTTCACCAGATGCTGCGTCTATGTAACTTTTTTTGGGAGTAAAGACGAAAGCAGACAAATAGTCAATCATTCTGCTTTAAAATGTTACGCTTCAAGTCTGTTTGTTGCCGCATGCATCCAAAAAATTTCTACTAGCATACTTGTCAAATATACAGTTACGTGTGTAGTCACCAGTCCTTCATATGTAGTTGAAGTAGTTGTGGTGATCGTACTGATAAATAATTGAGTGTGAGTGTGAGTGAGGTTGGATAGTAGGGTATCTCAAAAAAAAATAAAGTTCTATTTTTCGAACGCATACCCTCTAATTTTGCTTGAACAATGTCAAAACAATTGTAAATAAAGTTTTATGTACCTAGAACCTGCGCAACTCGTGCTGAGTTGCATATTAGGCGCGCGCTAGCTAATGTATTGCAGTCCTCGCTTGTTCTATTAGTAAACGCACTGTTTTCGTTCAGTCAGCATTTCGAAGAAATTACGTAGTTCTAAAATGGAAATATTTCTAATAGGGGATGTAAAGCATCAAATTACCGGTTCAAAACTTCCCTCTAAGCAGTTTTGTTCTATAATATACGTGTATAATAAATATCCGGGAAGTGAAATCTTAAAATCAACGAGGAGAACTACCACTGAAGCGGGGTGATTGATGTTCAGGAAGTCGATCTTGACGACGAGGGATTCAAGAAGGTCATCCCAGTTACGGTCCGAGGGAGAGCGATACAGGCAGCAAATAAATTTGGAGGATGCTTTGGAGTTGAGGCGAAGCCACAGAATGTCCTTCCGGTCTGATTACAGAGAAGCGTCTCTGCAGCAGGAAAGACTGCTGCGAACAAAGGCCACAACTCCCTCGTTCTTTCTCAGATTGGAGTTCACCTCGTAATTTGGTAAGCTAAGATGGTTAATCGGTGCGGACTCTGAGATTTTTGTCTCCGCCAAGAAAAACATGGAGGGACGATTGGATTGCAAGTAGTGATGAACAGCATCAATCCCGCAGATGTTCGTGAAACAAATTTTATCTTCGATGTTGTTCCCTCGAGTCCACCCTCCACCCGGACATTCTGAGAGTGGAGTGAGCTTACATCCGGAATTCTTAGTACTCGAGGGATCCATCATCATTAATTTCTTTCTTTTGGAAGATAACCGACTGCCTGGCTTAGGTGTGGAAACATGCGGATATTTACATGTATAAGACACCCTGGGAAAAGCTATAGGGTGGTACCGCCTGGGTCGACTGGTCCTTGTCTACCACTTTCTTTTTGCGTGTTAATGATGTTAAATAGACCTAAAGTGGCCCGTTGGCGGACTTGTACCGCCACCCGGCAATCGGTACTGATTCCTCAACGCGTGTTCAATCACTTGAACGGGAAGAAGTTGTATGCTGGATACAACAACTTCCGGAAGAAGCATTTGCCACGGCCCCGCTCAGTAGGGGTTGGGATTTTTGAAATTCAATATAGATGTTACAGTTATTTTTCAGACTTTCGTTGTCGTGCTTAGATTTACGGCATAGTTGTTGTTTTCTCAGTGTTCGAACCGGTGTTGATCGCATGTAAAAATGTTGGAAATCCTTGGAAAAAACTATATCTGTTAGATCGTAATTATTTTAATAATATATGTTTGTCCGAAACAGGTACATTAATACAGGGCTGTACATATTCACGTATATATTAGTGCAGTAGCTCTGTGATTTAAACGAATTCAATATAGCAACATAAATAGACACATACGCGAGAAGAGATGCGGGACGTGTGCTATTGACTTTGAGCATCGATCGATGCATCTCATAAATGTCTATTTCCAATTTAGGTGTTCATCTAACAGTGCTTCGCTGCAACACCAAACCCGAACAAAATCTGTCAAGCTTTACACACTTTTCAAATCACTATTGAGCAACAACCAGAACATGATTCACTTTCTAAGTGCAATCTGTATAACTAATATATTACCCAGACTTAGATTTGTCACAAGTCACAATACTCGTATATACGTATAAATCGTAAAAATTGTGCTGCAAACAAGTGATGTCAAAGAGGGACAGCATTTGGAATAGCAAAGGATACAAAAAAATCGCAATGCTCAGTTCCTATAGCTGTAACTTATACTTAGTATGTCTCTGTCACCATATGTGTCAGAAAGTAACACAATGGTGTTAGATTACAAAAGCAAGTGTCAGACTTCTAGAAGGGCGCGCGCCCCCTCTCTAAATCCGCCACTGGTTATTAGACCTAATTGTTCCACCGGTGTAAATATTGAACACCTGTCAAACGACAGGTTTATGTCGGGAGTACATATAGAACTAAAAAAATCGCAAAATATCAACAAAGAATTGTGCCACCAACAAACTCATACATAGAGACCAGATAGAAGTACAGTTATATTCATAAAAAAAGCGTACAGGAATTAGAATGAGAGGAAACCTTAACCTTATTTGCGTAAAACCGGCTTATCGCATGTTAAAGGTTATTAAAAATGCAAAGATGGGCGTCGGGCATTAGTTCAATACAGTAACAAAAATGTATTTCTTTATTTTACATCTTAACAGTTTTATAAAAATTACAATAGAAACAAAAAACGATTAACAAGAATAAATAAAATCTGATATTTGGTCATATATCCCTGTTTTTCTATTACTCGAGCCGGAATTGACTGAATTATATTTGATACAATATTTGGATCAAGCTTTTCCCAGCACGCATGTATTATTTCTCATAAATCTTCTGAATTTTGTGGCCTAAAATTTCGATTATATATTTTTTTTACGATTATACCCCAAATATTTTCGATTGGATTGATATCGGGACTATAAGCCACCCAAGGCAGCACTTCCACATTATGGGTTTGAAACCAGTGGGTTACTGCATTGGCCGTATGAACTGGACAATTATCTTGTTGAAATATGAACGTATTATTGGGATATATTTGCTCAGCACTTGGTAACAATATGTTTTCTAAAATGTTAATGTAATTTCTGGCATTAAATCTTCCCTCTATTCGCCAGCAAACACCAGGTCCTTGAACACTTATCCAGCCCCATACATTTACAGAGAAACGCCCAGGTCTAGAATTGAGGGGGTTAGTATATCGCTCTTCAAACCTGGTATTGTTTGGACGGTAAACACGAATTTGGCCGTTATAAGTCGACTGGAACGTCTTTTCATCAGTAAAAATGACCCTGTTCCAAAATTGAGGATTGCGGTATATATAATTTAAAGCAAAAATAATCCTTGATTGTCGCCGTTCTTCGTTAAGAAAAATTTTTTTCGCAGCAGGGTGACATTTTAGTTCAGATTTCATTACTCTCCTGCTGGCGGTCGGTTGGGAGGCAGGAAATGCTGTATCAATAACAGCATCCCTTACAGTTGCAAATGGATTATTTCTTAAATATCCCAAAAAAGCAGCATCCTGTTCAGGGTTGGTAAGTTTTCGACGACCTGAACCAATTTTCCTCTTTAGGGAATCTTCCTGTTCCCAGCGTTGCTTAATTTTCAATATGGTTTTTTTATTTCTATTATACAACTGCGCTACAGCACGGATTGACCATCCTTCTTCGATTCTTGATACAATTTGAGCCTTTTCAACTTCAGACAACTGACGAGGCATTTTTATTTTCTTCTGTCAAAGTTTATCAAACGTTACCACCACGCATTTTCGAAATGAATTACACCGACGTCAATGCTTTGCATTTTTGACAATCTACGACGTGTGATAACCTCCAATAAACAATCGTTTAGACAAGCCGGTTTTACCAACGACGATGAAAAGGTCTTTTCATTGTCTTTGGGTTTTACGCAAATAAGGTTAAGGTTTCCTCTCATTCTAATTCGTGTACGCTTTTTTATGAATAGAACTGTACATCTCTATGGCATAGCTTTGCAAAAAATCAGGGGACTACAGGCTGATTCTGCTCATACAAAACTTCACTGCTTAAAACATAAAAAAAGCGCAAAAACGATAAATTGTGCCAGCAACAAACTCATACATATTATAGATACCGCATAGGAGTACATCTGAATGGCACAGCTTTGCGAAAATTCAGAGGACTACCGGGCGATTCTGCGCATACAAGACTTCACTAGTTAAAACAGGAAAAAGTCGCAGAACCTAAACTAAGAATTGTGCCACCAACAAACTCATATATATGTTGTAATACATCTTTATGGCATAGCTTTGCAAAAAAATCAGGGGACTAAAGGATGATTCTGCGCATACAATGCTTCACTTCTAAAACAGAAAATATCGCAGAACCCAAACGTAAAACTGTGCCACCAATAAACTGATATATGTTTGATTTCCTAGTAATTTTTAAAAATTCCCCATATCGATAAATGACACATAACTCTGATGGATCCGTATTTTGTTTTGTTTTTTTCTACGCTACAGATTCATTTTGTATGTAGTTAATAACAACTCTTTTATGCAGAAAAGTTCATTTACATACAAAAAACGCTACAAGCAAATTTAACTAGATTTCCACCCGAAGATCGATAAGGGAAGTGTGAAGTTTAATTCAGCAAGCAACATGCTTAAAACAAGTACATGGGAAAAGTGTGATTTGAACAATAAAAAGTAGACATATAGGTTTGACTTATTTAATTTCTTAAATAATTTGGAGGGGAATCCGCAGTATTTTGTTTCCAAATTCGGGGAATTTGTCATTGATTATTGGACGAATATGAAGTATTAATATTGGCAATACGGCAAACCTGTCCATGCGTCAAGTTTCGTGGTCGTTTTACAAATTTTACACATGAGGAATTTACGGAGATGGTCAACAAAGCGGTATTGCCATTTTTTAAATTCCCGCTGAAAACCGAAGTTACCTAACCTCTTTTTTATGTGGATGTTTTGTGGTAGATGGCGTCAAAGGTAGGTTTTTCGTAAATTTTGTTCATTATTATAATTTAAGCCGTTCTTATTTAAACTACATTATTTTGTTGATCTGATGAACTTTGGAATCTGGAGTATAAGACCTAACATATTGGTGAAACTGTATAAGAAAACAACTCGTTTTATTCTAGGGGACAGTAATAAAAAAACAGAGCATCTTGAATCCTTGGAAAAAAAGTTAAAGATAGAAAGATATCCCATATTGGAATGATTTATTAGAACATTACGACTACTAAGCATTTCTACTTGATCCAACAGTCACATGCTTGAATCATATAAAATCTTCTACGAAGTATGATATATTTTAGTGATGCAGTAGAAATTCCTAAACTATATATAATCATATTTTTCACAAAACTTTTACAATCTGATGATTATCAATGTCATGGGAATGTGATTAGATATTCCTGTATTATAATTCTTATGAAAAATCTCCTAACTCTAGTAACCTTGCTGTCGTTAAAGAGAATTTGGTTTCATCACTGATTTTAACAATTTTTCCATGCAGGTGCTGCAGAAGACCAACACCAGGAATGAAAATAGTTGCGCCATAGATATTATTGATATGTTCATACAATTTAAAATGTAGATAAAAATATTTTCTCAATAAGGTAAGATTTTTCATTGTTCTCAAAACTTCAAATAACTAGGATATACGAGGAGGTTCCCAAAAATTACCGGAATAGCATTGCAGTGGGCGGAGCTTGTGTAGTACACATTTCTGCCCCTACAGGCGTACAGCGCAACTCATTCCCAGTTCAGTGCCATCTGAGTTGTCGATCTGGCTTACATCGTTCCTCTGTAGTCATTATCTTTGCTAGAGCTGTTTCGTGCTTGTTTCTTTTTTATGATGGCAAGGTTCGGTGAGCAACGTGCAGCTGTGAAATTTTGCCGTCTAATTGCTAGAAATGCTGCTGAAACTGTTTTAATGTTGAAAGTAGCTTACAAAGATGATGCTATGGGAAAAACTCAGGTGTACGAGTGGCTTGCTCCATTTAAAAATGGCGACATGTCTATTGGTGACAAACCTCGTTCTGGACGTCCATCAACTGCCCGAATCGACAAAAATGTTGAGAAATGTTGTGCTTGCAGACCGTCGACTGACAATCGATCAACTATCCAATTGGTGCGTTGTCCTGGAGTTCGATTCAGTGAATTTTAACAGAAGATTTGGGAATGAAAAGGGGTGCTGCCAAGTTTGTTCCTCCGGCTTTGACTGACAATCAAAAAGAACACCGAGTTGAAACATGTCGTGCTTTGAAACAACAGCTTGAATCTGATCCAAATTTTCTGTTAAAGATCATCACTGGTAATGAGACTTTGTGCTACGGTTATGACCCAGACACGATGCAACAGTCAAGTCAATGGAAGACGCCATCGTCACCCCGTCCAAAAAATGTCAAGTCAAATCAAAACAATGGTGATTTGTGTTTTTTATGACAAAGGCGTGGTCCATTCCGAGTTTGTTCCCCCAGGTCACACTGTCAATGAGACCTTTTATTTGGTGGTTTTAAGATGATTGCGAAACAGTGTTCGGCAAAAAAGAACCGCAGGGGTATCATGTAAAAAACCTATAAAACGTCAAAAAAAACCTATAAGATGTCATCTTGCAAACTAGGTAGTTTTTAGGGCGCAAACAGTCATTTCACGTTTGCTCACTAGGATTGTTGTGAACGTCCATCTAATGAGGAATTACCCAACTAAACTACACGCATTATTGGTTGCATATGTTTTGTGAGGCCATATGGTCCTAGTATGTAGTTTTTATCTCTGAGACGAAAGTTGGTTGAATAGCAAGATCGCATCTGGATGATTATGTGTATAAAATCATTATTGGTCTGCATGTGTATAAAATCAGTGATATTTGCTGTGTGAGAAAATCATTACTGAATATGCTGCCAATGAAGTACATCTATTGACTGTGTCCGACGGGTTACTTTTATGTTGTGGTTTCTGAAGAGAGGTTATGTTCAAAGTTATAAATTACGAAAAACTGAGGAGAATTACGGGAAATCATCACCGGCTCGCGTTGTGTGTAATTACTGTTTGCATGTACATATATGACTTGTAATTCGACAGTATACAGTGAAAATAACTATTTCTTATCTCTCTCATTTTTTAAATTCAGCAAATTTTATATAATTTCCAGACTGGATAAGAAAAAGTGGATGCGCAACTAATTTCTAGCTTTGAATCTCAATTAAGTGTATTTGAGACAAGAACCCAATGTAATTATCATCAACACATACAACTTACAGCTTAGACCTCCAGTAATGGCATCTCAGAAGCAGATTTTACATCACATCAGAACCAAAGATTGATAACAAGCCTTATGACGTTTAGGCAACACTTACAACTAAGTGCTTAGCTAACATCTTATAGACAAACCTACATAATGTCAAAAGAAAACAGCATAATGTCACAAAAATCGGCATAATGTCACAAAAATCGGCATAATGGTTCTTCCACCACGATAATGCACCTGCGCATACAGCCGTCTCTGTTCGACAGTTTCTGGCTAAAAATGGTATGGACGCCGCTTTGACGACATTCAAGAGGTCAAGAAAAAAACGAGGGAGGAGCTGTCAGACTTCAAAATTTTTTTCGAACAGTGGAAGCACCGGTGGGACAAGTGTATTAATTGTAGTGGACATTATTTTGAAGGATTTAAGGTTACTTTGTGAAAAAATTGAAAATAAATAGCTTTTAAAATAATTCCGTTTTTTTTTTACTCCCTCGTATAGATGATTTTATGATGACCTGTGATACTACTGCTTTAACTGATAAATGACTTCTTATTTGCCAAAACAGCAAACATAGGTTAATAACACATGGCGTTATAAAAGCTTCCATTTATCATTAGAAATGGGTATTCGTATTATAAAATTATACAACAGTCTCAGGTTCGTGCATAATCAGGCAATCAGAAAAAATGGCGCTTGTCACTGACATGAATCAACTGTGTTGCCCTATGGATAGCACAGGACTGTACCTTCTTCAAGTGTATATGTGTTATGTTTCCGAGTACTTCTAGGTTATATACTTGCATGTTGCATGTATATGTTTTGTGCTTTTGTGCATGAAAACAATACTTTCCAAAAATCAGCCATAAACAGGAAAAGAAACGCACGTAGCAAGTTGAAAACTAAGTTCTAAATTGTATGAACACAAAATGAGTAAAGAGAAGACTGGGGATAACTGTAGACCATTTAAATTATAAGTATCCCATTCAACTTTAGCCTTTTTACATTCAGGTTTTACAAACAATAATTATTCAAATTTATGTTCACAGCTCATCAAATTGTTAGTTTAACTGGGATCAGCTTCGAAAGGAAAAGTATAATAGTAAGCAGTTGCACTTCTTCCTGCTTCTACTGTTCTATTGATTATTTGTTTCAGGGATTTGTGGAGCTAACAGTTGTACCTTTGAAAGATAACTTACGTGTTATAAAGCTCAATGCTAAGCAATGTAGGATCTATAGAATTATTCTCAATGATCAATATGAAGCCCACTTCCAGTACTTTGACCCATTTCTGGATATCTGCCAGACAGATACAGACACGTAAGCGTTCATCTACTAATTTGATCCAATAGACCCACTAACACACTGTGTTATAGTCCCCCATGCTTGTCCAGCTAAATCTAACCACATATGTTTAAAATTCCTCTTCATTGTACATTTCAGTCCCTTTTTTAAGTACAATCAACAATTGTTTGTGTAACATGTGATTTATTTTGTGCTGAATGTGCAAAAACCCTGATATGGTTGAGCTGAATATATTGTCAGCCCCTTTCAAAAGCATCAGCTCGTCATTATGCTTTATTGATGGTAGAGACAAGCAGTGATCATTGTACATAGTGGCCAATTAAGAACGTGAGGTACTGTATCTGGGAATATATCCATCGTAGAGGCTTGTGGCAAAAACAGTTATTACAAAAATGGCCAAGTAATTATCAAGTTGTGGCCCTAAAAATGACCGCTGTAAAAAAGAAAGGTTTTTAATGCCCCCATAACTGCTCGAAATGCTGACAAAACTGCAGCATCAATTTCGGCTCTCGGAATGTTATATGGGGGTTTCTCTGTAAAGTGGTCAACTCGTTGTCTCCTACCATAATAATGTAAAATAGAAGAGATTATTATTTATTTCATTACTATTTTCGAAACATAAGGATCTAGTCCACCTGTCCTTAGTATGAATTATCTATATAAGCTTCTGTTAATATTCTAAAAACATTGTTGTAATGCTCAAAAAACAGTGCTCTGGTATGTCACCAAAGCGGTGCAATGGCTTCTGATTCAGGTATTGAAACAAATAAGTTTAGAAATCGACTAATTAAAGTATTAATTTAAACATAATACAGTCGGCATTACTAACAGTGCTTATTTTTTCATTTATCTATTAAAAAAAGAAAAAACAGATTAGTTTGAGTTGGTCACACTATATAGCGATTAGTCCCCTGTGTATATTTCAAATGACGTGGCATAACGCCTAGAACGCAAAAATATCGTTTTATTGCGTTCAACGCAACGCGAACAGAGTGAAGTTGACGCGGTTGCTACCAGAGCGGCCCTGAGGCCATCTTCTTCAGTGCTGCACACGTGTTGCTCCGAGTTATCTGCGTCAGAACCTAAAAGCCTACAGTCCTCTGGTAAAAAATATTTAAATTCCTTTCTGTGTTTTTAAGTCATATTTCACATGATGTACTTTATTCAAATAGATAATTTTCAATTGTATGCATCAAAATAAAACAAATGGATACTGTATTGTGCTACTTATCAATCTAATCTAACTGAACAGTCCCGTGGCAACAGTCCCCTGCATTTAAACAGGACTGTTCTTACTTCCAGAGGACTGTCCTAATGTGTATGTAGCATTGTTATAGGCACTATTACAACCAAGGAAGAAAACAGACGAAGGAGGAAATTTTACAAAAGAAAAGGGATGCTGAATGGAAAAAGTACGAGCGCCTCAAGAACGACCCGCAGAGAAGGGAAGAGCTAAGAGAAAAGGGACACCTGAAATACCTTAAAAAAGAAAAAGAAAAGGGGACTAGGAAGCTTGTTAAAGATATGACGCCACGAGATCACCGGGAGGCTAGAAAGAAATGGAGAGAGCATTGTTCTGCTTATCAGAATAAGAAGAAAGCGTTGACAAATATAACTAACACTTATCTGCGAGAAAATACACCAGATTCGAAACATCGCACTCATCCCGACCAACAACACCTCAAGATGTTGATATGTTCAAAAAACCAATTAATAGGGAGAAGAAACTTAGATATCAAATAAAAAAGAAAAAAGATGAGATTAAATTACTAAAAAGAAAATTATTGAAATATAGAAAATGTGTTTCGAGACTGATGAAAAAGGAAAGAAAAATGTGTAAAGATGATAACTAGCAGATAGTCCAGAAACTAAGAAAGATCTAGTCAAGAAGGCATTGTTTGGTGAGGTGTTAAAAGAACAATTACAAGAAAACTTCTCAAACATAGAAACATTGAAAGAAAAAACACTTTTGACCAAAGTAGTATTCAGAAAACTAGTGGAAAAATACAAATTATGGCGTATGGAAAACACAAAAGTGATTAATTACAGAAGAATAAAAAAAGCAAAACTACTCGGAGGACGCGTCGTCGGAAAATTCTATAACTCTTTGGACTTAAAATCCGAGTCAGTTGGGATAGTGATGAAATATCTAAGCTGCTTTTGTAACAAAGATGGTTGCCGTCACTTTAACATCGGAAAATTAAACTATGAAAATAGATCTTCCGCAGCTAAAGCACTCATCAATGCAGATTACATCCTAGTCGAATTAGTCTCAAAAAATATGCAATATAGATATGCAAGCGTAATAAACAAAATTGATGAAGATGGGGAAATTCGAGTTACATTTTTAAAGCTTTACGATAATAAAGGTCAAACATTTAGAATGGATCCGGACAATATAGCAGATATTACAATGGATCAAGTGATAGAAAAATTACCTAATCCAAACATAATTTCTAAGGGAAAAATAGACTATTTTATACATTTGATCCACCTATTAATGTTTTTGAAAAACGTTAAGCTTCGTAAAACTAATGGTTGTGTGTAAAATACTGATTATGTTACCTTAAGCTTACAAAGTTTTGTACCTGTAACAAGAGAATAATAAAAGTATTGATTTTTTTCGTAGTTTACCGAAGAATTACTATAATTGTTAATTTCCAAGTGTAGAGAAAATAAAATATTTAATTTTGCTAATATATTGGTATTTTTAATTTGAGTACACAGGGGACGCCATAACTGACAGTCCCCTGTGTCAATAATTTAGAAAATGCTTAATATTTCCTAAATTATGACCTATATTTTTGGGTTCCCAGTGGTTTGTCATTAAGCTTGAAAGTATACATCTCCTAAGTAAGATGTTTCAAACATTTAAGCAAAAAAGTGGGCAAGACAGTTTTTCCAAATAAGTTGACCAGTTTACAGAGAAACGCCCATATACTGCATTACGATCCCAGTTCTATGATGTACTTTAACCATCCCCATAAATATAAATCAAGACAAGTTAGTCTGGTGATCGTGAAGGCCATGGAAACAAACTTCCTCTTCCAATCCACCACTGTTGAAATACTGCATTAATATGATTTCACACAATATTAGCAAAATCTCCTGACAACCGTCCAACTGCAAAAACAAGTTTTGCTGTGTTTTCAGTGGCACATCTTACAACAATGGTAATTAATAATAATAATAATAAACGTCTTTATTTCCAAATAGACTGAGTATATAAAAATAGCCAAATACGGGCGAAGTTCAGCTGTAGCTGCTCTTCCACTTAACCCGCTATAAAAAGTCTGTACAAAAGGTGAGTGAGACCTACTTATTTTACACATTACAATTACTAAATGTATATGCAGTGCTTACATTAATACATCTACTATAAAAGAAACATAAACTTGTATCAATATTTTCCTGAAACATGGTTACTACTGCTGGGATAAGAGATATTTTTTAAGTGAGTTTTGGAACTTGAGATGCTCAGAGTTTTATATTGTACCAGAAGGGTGTTATAAATGGAACAAATTTGGTAGCTGAACGATCGTTCGAATTGGGCTGTTCGGAATATCGGCGGTGTCAACAACCCCCTGGATCTTATATTGATGTTATGCACATCTGTTCGAAATGTAACTTTTTCAAATAAGTAAGTGGGGGTCTTATACAAAATTATTTTATGATATAATGTTGCGGCATGCAAAAATCTGCTTGTTTCCATGTTCAACCAATTCGCATCTTTCAACTTATGCGATATTCGGTCTCGTCTTCTGATGCCATATATTAATCTGAGGCAAGAATTCTGCGCAACCTGAATTTTTTGTTTGTAAGTGGCAGTTAAGCACGGGCCATACAACATATCAGAAAAATTGAAGTGCGAGAGCACCAACGACTGTTGAAAAAGTCAAGAAAGACAATGTCATTTAGGGATTGCTTGAAAAAATATCTCCAAATAATTCTGCCTCCCAGTATGCCACATCACACATTTAAACTCCAACGCCCTTGGTGCTGAACTTCACGCAACCAAATCGGATTTTCTGCAGACCAATGCATATATCGTGCAGATTGAGTCTTCCGTCACTATTAAACGTGGCTTCATCGGTCCAAAGAATTTGAAATAAAAAATCTCTATTTTCGCGTTTCATGTTTAACATCTAAAGGCAATAGTCCAACCTCTAATCAAAGTCATCCTCTTTCAAGGCCTGATGCAAATCGACATGATATGGGTGCAATCAAAACGTAATAAAAAAAAGTTAAATTTATGGTTCTTCAAAATATTTTTAACCGATATACGCAACTTGAGGGATAATGCCCTTGTGCTAACATGAGGATTTCCTTCAATATATCTCACTACGCGGTTAATATTTTCTTGTGTTCTTCCGATTCTTTGCCGTTGGAACGTAGGCCAAAAACCACCATTGGTTCGAAGCTCGCCTCTAATCGGGGAAAAACTGTCACATCGTAAACACGTCGATTTGGATATCGAGTCGCGTAAAATCTTTTTGCTACTGCGGCATTCTGAAGACATTCAAAATAAACTGCAAGTATATCAACAGCTTCATCGTTCGTAAAACGCATTTGAGAAGCGCACAATCATTTTCTCAAAGTAACGCGCAACTATTGACAATTTGAGGATTATTGATGTTTTGATTAGGTATTATTTTGTTGTATTCTATGGCCTGCTTTTATTAATTCTTTTTCGTATATGTACCCATAGTGCTTTTAAACAAAAATATGCCTTTTGTTATAAGCATTACTTACTTAGGTTTTAGCGATATTTTGTAATATTTTCAAAAAGGGTGATTTTATTCTATAATAAGAAAGACTTCCAGAAAAAATAGTTTAAAAAAGTAAAAATTCAAGGCATTTCCGTATAATTTTTTCTTAGGCCTAAATTTTAGGTTAGAAGAAACATTCATAAAAAAAATCGTACCACTGCATTTAATAAATTTGAGAATATTAACCACTTATGTCGGAGTATCGAAAAAGCCCTCTAGCGGCGACATGTGAAACTAACAAAACTTCAAATATTATGATATTTTTAGCCCAATATAGCCCTTTTCAACTAGCACAAGTTTGTTAAAATCGGTCAGGCGTTTCGAGGATACAGGGTGTTTTTTACGAAAACCTTTAAATACCCCCCCCCCCACCACTTTATTTTTAGAGATACAACAAACAATTTTTTCCGAAAGCCTATGATGGATAGGTTCCCAGATCCAGTACCTCACATTCTTAGTTGGCCACCCTGAACAGTGGAGAGTTAAACACGTTTTTTCAATAAAATGATTCCATTCTTATTTGTAAAACTGCAAAATAATATTAAAAATCAATTGGCATCTAATAATTTACTGCTTATGATTTTTGCTATACTAGCAAGTTTAAAGGCCATAATTTAAAAATAATATTAACTCCATGTTTGTAACTTTTTTGCCCATAACTCTCATCTCTGACTGCACTAATTTTCAATTATAGTACTAAGAGTGTATGAAGTTATAAAAATGATGGCTTGTAACACTGATGAAAATTAATACCATGGATTTTCGCAATGTACATATGTATAATTGAAGAAAATATCTGAAATCCAAAAATGTTTGTATTAATACTTTTTTTGTGTGAAGTGAAACCAAGATGTTTTTATGTAATCTCTGTAAACTGAAGTAATTACTTCCTCGTGGAAGAACTGTGATATTCAGGCGAAGCTCCCTATACCCAAGGTGTCCCAAAATAAGATATGGATCTTTCAGATGCATATTGAAAACACAAAAATAAACCCACAAACCACTAATTCTCATGAAAAGAGTGTCCTGTAGGACCCTGAATGAAGCCACCGTAAATCAGTTTTTCATCAAAAAACTTTTGTACATCGCCTGATAAGTCAACGAAATTTGGTAGCGCGGTAATTGATTGGGCCTCATTTAGTTATGTCCATCGAAAGCAATTAACATATTTAGCATTTTCAAAATGTGTTAATGTAACAACTGAAAATTATCCTCTGGTTGTCATGTTGATATAACTCCATGATCTACTGATCAAATTAAATGATATACGAGTATGTATCCTCCAAATCGACAAACGAGCATGGGGTTAACTGGTATGTTGCAACAACTGTTCTGGGTGAGTTTTCGCGTTTTTGGAACACATTTTGCGTTTTCGGGACGGTGAGAGGGGTGCCGTGTCTGGTAAATCAAAAACGCACTTTGCTGCAGTACCGTCTTAAAATTGTAATGATGGCTTCGCGCAATCTCGACATGACACAGGGCCGTTCAGGCTATTCGGCAAACATTGTATAGTAGGTGAGGAAAATAAAAAACAAATGATCTGTCACCTGGAAGAATAATTTGAAATAGGTCATCATGGCCGCAGAAGTCATGAAGTTCTACAAAAACTGCTCATTCTGTCGACGTGAAACAAAGGTACATATTCGTTGAATTATACAGTGTCATTCAAAACTTATAAAAACTTGTGGCATTATTTTACTTCCTACACCACTGGCGAACAAGTATTGGAATCGCGAAGAATTTCGGAAATGAGATATGTTTATTTTATGTTACATGACATCTACATCAGGAAAAACATGTTACTCATTTCAGTCGGTTTGTTTGTCGGTAATAAGCTATACTGGCTTGAAAATATGTATCTCATCAAAAAGATTTATTTGATAATGCCCTAAAGTGATCACCATAAAAGGTGTTAGGATTTTTGTAACCCCTCCATCAGTTTTTGATTATGGTCTTAAATTACCAGAAACTAAAAAATCAAAGAACAAAGATTGGAGACATTTTGAAATTTATCATTTTCTCTCGTAACCCCGCCGCCACTGGTCCGATTTTCAAAACTTTTTAAACTTCAAGGAGTAGAATATATATATATATATATATATACATCAGCAGACAATTTCCTAAAATCTATTAATTTTTTTGATTAAAATATTCCTGTTAATTACTTGTATCGGTTGCAAAACCACAATAAGACATTTTTGAAATATTCTTCCATATTGATAACATGTATAGTAGCCCCTACAACGAAAAATACTGTTTATTTCATGAATTTACATATTCTATCTAAAGATAACCAACCTTATATTATACTCCGACGTCCAAAAGGGGAAAGATACTAGCGCCATAGTAAGGATTTGAAGATTGTATGCCATTCCTGATGCAGTAGCAGAAACAAACACTAACTCTTTTAAAAGTATATTTCTAAATTCCTTTTTGTGATCTACTACTATCTTATGAATGGCGCTAGGATATTGCAGATTTCATTTTGGACGCTGGAATACAGTATAGAGTTGGCAATCTTTAGGTGGAATATGTTAATTGAAGAAAGTACATAATGCTTAAATATTTCAGGAGAAGTTTGGATGTATTTTCCAACCATCACCTAAATGCTGCACTAAAAGTTGACCCAGACAATTGCGCTGGGGAGCTGGTGGTAACAATACCTCCAGAGGCAGGACATCTTGTAGCTGAGGGTACTGCATTGAGAGTAGGAATTGAATTTTCATTGGAGCAGCCACAAGGTGGCATACATTTTGTTGTGCCACCAAAAGAGGGCACTTATGCAGAGGTAAGTCTATTTGAAAAATCAAATGCGGGCATTTCCATCTGGCGTACCATATACTGGGTGTCCTTTGAGTTGGAAGCATATCCATTATGCAAGAATAAACATTCTCCTAGAAACACATAAGAAGGTTTACTACAGTGTTCTTATGTTAACGTTTTATCGATATACAGGATGTCCGCAAAGTTGTGGTTTTCCTTTTCAGAAACAACTACCCTTGAAATAACAAAGGTAATGTGTAGTGAAACGAGGGCGACAAAGTAAAAAAAAATAAAGGAAAAAGTACTCACTCTCCAGTTGACGAGAAGGGCTAAGTACCGCTCCAACAGAAATTGAAATCAGCTGATGCACTACCGAGCAGACGCAGGCAAACAAGGAAGGCAAAATGTTGCGTAAAAAGTCTAGGTATTGCATCCCGTCCAATCGATTTGGGAGAATAAATGGTCCAATGAGCATACCGTTCACCATGCCAGCCCAAACATTCACCGAAAATGTGCCCGACGGACAGCGTGCGGATTTTCTACTGACTTTTCAAATGAGTGTTGCGAAAGTTATTCACCCCATTACGCGTGAACGTAGATTCGTCTGTCACCAATATGCACTTCAAAAAGTCCGGATTATTGTCATGTTGATGCAACAACCACTCACAAAACCGCACTCTTGCTGGAAAATCGTCAGGTTGAAGGGCTTGTACACGTTGGACGTGAAACGGATACAGCCCCTCTTCACGCAGCGTTTGCCACACTTTAGTTTTTGATACTTGCACTTATCTAGCCACGTCTCTAGTGCTTGTTGAGGGATTCTCGTCTACGCGATTACCTCTAGACGCGTGACCGTAACCGTCGGTTGAAGATTGCATACTGACCTGAACACTGACCCCGACCCAGTTCTGTCGTCGGGTTGAGCTAGTGTCCTAGTACCAGTCGGGGATGTCGCGGCTACAGGACGGTATTCAGATATTTTTGATGTTGCAGAGCCCTTTATCTCGGTTCCCTTAAGACATTGGTGTATATGGTACTAAGAAAAATTGCTTATCTTTTCAAGATCTACACGTCGTGTAAAGGAAAACCCCAACTTTGCGGACACCCTGTATAGAAGTTAAAAGTTACTTGTGGAACATATGCTGATACACAAGTAAGCGTCAGTGCCTTCATATCTGTATATATGTATAAAACTAACATCCTGTGCTTTGTGACCAATTGACGGAATCAATCATAAGAAATAAATCTATAATATAATGAATATTAACTTATTAACTTTGAGATAGGCCATAATATTTTCTAATCAGTAAAGAGAAACTTTTTGGCGATTTCAAATATTTCTAGTACTCATAGGTACCTAAAATGATTTCGTCACTCACCTTAGAAAAAAAAATTAGTAGATTGGATTTATTCTTAGTCGCCGCTTGCAATTCTTCTTCTTCGATTCTCTTAAATACAATAATATCTAGTTCCTTGTCGGATTTTGCTTGTAATTTGTAATTTCGCCACACTTCGTTAACTAACTTTTGTACATTTTGTACTTTCGTACTTGTATGAGATTTTTTAAAACTTTCAAACAATTTTTGGTATAACTTGGATTTGTCTATGTGAAACGACATCTTATTTAAACATTAAACTTTGGCTAATGGAATCAATGGTAACACAAATGTTAACTTGCTTTACTATGCTTACAATACGTCTACTCGCTATAGTATCCAAACGAAACAATACACTGATAGAGGAAATTTAGACAAGTGAACACCGCGCGGTAATTCCCCTACTCGGTTCTAAAGCGAGTAGGGGAATTGCCGCGCGCTGTTCGCTAAACGTATGCATTATTTGCGGGAATCCCCGAAAATGCGTTTCGTTTTCAAGCAAAGACAATGTGAGGGTTGCCATTCGTGTAAAAAAGTAAATAACTACCGATGACGTAATCATCATCTAGACTCCCCTACCCCCCATGTCATCCAAAATAAGCAAAGCAAAGACCCCCCCCATAGTGCTCACGTAATACTTGAACGGTCGCTAACTGGTGATTGAATTATGAGAGAAGGTTACCACAATGCTAAGAAGCTTTGGATTTTCAGAAATTTTATTGAAGGGGTTGATAATTGAAGGATGCTGAGAGTAGGGAGTGTAAATGTTGCATAACTAGTATCAGTGAAAGATTAGGCTGTTTCTGATCTCCCTAATATTACCCACCTTTAAACATAATAGTTACACATATTTTCCATACATTTACCATTGACAGAAATTTTATTTTCATATTTACAAAAATAGTGAAAGGTGCAAGCAAAAATTAATTCTAAACGAATCTTTACGTAAATGAACACGTTTCGATTCAAGTTGTCTTTTGAATAGACATTACCCAGTCTGTTACTATTATGTGTGTAGCCAACTTTTTTTAGGAGGGACAAATTTGCCTCACATTTGTTCCAACAGCTACTGATGCATCAGATTACTCCACATTAAATAAACAAGAATGCAAAAATATTCAAATTATTTCCAGTCTGTTAGAAATCTGTCCCAAGCATTGACATGAAAGCAAAAACAAACATATTGCGTCTTCCATATTGTCTTCACTATCTATTTGTTTCAGAGAGGAGTGCATATGTTCACCTATGGCCACCAAAATTCCTCTCGCTTATGGTTTCCTTGTGTGGACAGTTATGCGGAACCATGCACCTGGAAGCTGGAATTCACAGTAGATGAAGACATGACTGCCGTTTCTAATGGCGACCTCATGGAAGTGGTCTACACACCGGATATGAGAAGGAAGACGTACCATTACTTTTTGAATATACCGACTTGCGCGCCGAATATTTCACTCGCTGTAGGGCCGTTTGAAATATTCGTGGATCCTTACATGCACGAGGTCACACATTTCTGTCTACCGAATTTGTTGCCACTTCTGAAAGTTACAACGAGGTGAGTAAAAATACATTTCAGCAAAGGGAATAGATAGCATCTGTCATGTAATGTGCATCGATATCATGGAAGTACCACAGGTGCAGAGATAAACTAAACTAAAATATACATGCCCTAACTGGGTATTTCCCAAAACAATTGACGGAATAGTAATATAATATTGCTTCGAAAAAGTGTATATTGAGAATTATCAGTCTACTTTATGAAGATCATTTTTTCCAAAGCTCATACATAACATTTCGCTCCAAATTAGTTCTAGTGTAATGTTGGAGGCTTTGTACTCAGAATATCATCTTGCATTTGCCATAGAGACTAGAATTTTCTCCGGTGTGAGAAAATAGAGCATTTCCTCTCTAACATTTACAGTTTATTGACTATTCAGCGGGATATACAGATGATTCATCGTTGTTTTTTCAATCCTACTCGAGTGAAAAAGGGGGATAAACTGATTCGCCTTGAAAAACGGATACAAATATTTTGTAATGGCTATTATAAATGTAAATTTTGTCCAGAACGAAAACACTTCATTTGAACCCTTTTTTAGGTACATAAAGTAGTATTTTTGACAAATCCAATTTTGGTATTTTCCTTTTTTTTTTCAGACTGACTATCAATATTATCGTCCTAAAACTGTATTTTGACATTTTGCTTTTTTATGAACGAGAAGTATCACAACTCGCGCGATCCGCCTTGTCTTTAGAATGTGTCCCTGCTTTTTCCAGTATGCCAGACCTATGTTGAATCTATTCTTATTATCTTATCGCAACATTCTGCAATACTTTGCATTTTTATACTGTTTTTAGGTATATGCATGAAGCTTTCGAATTTTATGAAGAAACTCTTTCAAACAGATATCCATACTCGTGTTACAAGCAGGTATTTGTTGATGAAGCTTATGAAGACTACCAGTCTTATGCCACAATGAGTATTTTAAGTGTTAACCTGTTACATTCAGCTGTGATAATAGACCAGGTAAAGCTTTTTTTGGTCATAGTCATCTTTCATTAAGTAACTTTGGAATCTACTGTTTGGGATAAAAGGTTTTTTGCATTTTTGTATATCTCTTAAATTTCTAATACATGTTTGTCATACTTCTATGCTGTGTTTGTAACAATATAATTATTGCAAATGTTTCAAGGTATACATATCAAGAAAAGCACAGGCCCTCGCCATAGCTGAACAGTTCTTTGGTTGTTTCATATCTATGCAAAATTGGTCAGATCTGTGGCTGAACAAAGGAATTAGTCAGTATCTATGTGGTTTATATACCAAGAAAATGTTTGGCAACAATGAATACAGAGAAATGATCCAATGCCTCCTATCAGATGTTGTTAAATATGAAGAAGAATTTGGTGGAATAATTTTAGGTATGTAATGCTTTTCTCATTTTTTCGATAAATATCCTTGCTTTAAAAACTGACACATGAAATATCGGAATATTTTTTTAGTCCCAAATAAGAGTTCCGGTAATTTGACTTACTGGGGTGCTGTTGCAGTATATCGTAATTTTAATCAACATCTGGCGAAAAGAATTTTGATGAGCCACTGAATGTCAACAATTTCACTAAAATTACACTACTGCCTACGATACATAATTAACAAAAGAATAGACAGTAGATTGTGTTGAAATATCTGGGAGAATAATGTATAAGTCATTGTACACTCAAGGCAAAATAAACGCAACACGCAAAAGTTTGATCAACTCCGGAGCATTATAAGTTTCTCACTTTCAACACCATTTTAATGATTTTCTAACATTTAATTTTTTGACGATGGCCACCGTTTGACTTATTTTGCAGGGCAAATCAAAATGATGTTTCATTACCCCAACTTTGAATCACCCTGTGGTGTGACTTCATTAGCCAATCACACCACAATGCTTTACATTATCAAGAACCTTATATTCTCTATGATCCGTTTGTTATGCACGTCAATATATACAGTCGTTGAAGTTTTAGAGTGAAATTACTTTACCAGCAATTTGCGTTCTTCCTCTTATATGTGTTTTTTTTTTTAATTTCTGTATCGATTCAAAAATCCTTCATGCAGTTGTACAGAAAGTTAATACCTTTCTGTGTTACTTTCAATTTTTTAGGTCGTCCTCCATTTAGTTATTTTGCATAGTTTTAGAAAACGAAAATTACTGTCTTAATTTTAGAACACGCTGAATAATAATTTCGTGATCTAACCTTCTGAAATGTTAATTACCATATCTTTCTTAACCTTTAATTTTGGATTTGTGACAGTTTGCAATTACAATATGTGTCACATCTTTATGCAAAACATTGAATAAAGAGGATTTTAAATCTTAGACTATTTCACCACAGAATGTACCAGATAGGGTAAGTAAAACGCTTAGTTCAGGAACTCATATTTGTGAAGTTCATATTCCTGCTGCTTGATCAGCTAATTCACTATTCACATGCTATATCTGTAGCTACAGTCATGTGTACCATCTACTCGTACTACCAAAATTGGCCACTTCGAAGTGATTAGCAACTGTTTGTTGGAACTGTAGTAATGACTCGGCTGTTAACGTGAACTGAGATACCTTCACAATTCTAACAAATGGTTGCTTTGCTGTTGCTGTACAAAAATCAATTTGAAGGACACTATGAATATATTTTTTCAAAAATATCAAAAAAGATAAATTACTTCTATCGAGCTTCGGATAGCCTAAGGGGTTTATTCCAAAAAAATCAAAAAATATGTACAACACTATCATTCTTCCTCATTTCTTATACTACTCGACTATTTTGCTCACTGCAAATGAAGTGAAAAAATATTTCACGGAAATCCAAAATTTTGTTTATGTAACAAACAAAAGTGTATTTTTAAAATTACAAATATTACAAAATCAAGCTATGAGGAACATCTTGAATAAAAATACATATTCTAAAATAATTTTTTTTGCTGATAGAACTAAAATGGTTGAATATTAAAAATTTCGTAACCTAGTTGGTTTTCATTTTCATATTCAAGATAAAAATCACCTTTTACCAAATCAGAATATTGTAGTGAATTGAGCAATGAAGGAGAGGAAGTATAGACTTTCATTTAAAGAATTGTAGTAGCAATATAATAAACATCAGTATTTCAAAAAGGCTTGTACGATTAAATAATGATATTTTAGTTCAAAAATGTACAAAGGGGAATTGGAAAAACATTTCATGAAAAACCAGAACCCAGTAGTGAAATTTTGAATAAAAATATGTAGACTTGAGAACATAAAATATTAGATGACATACTGTGTAACATTGATATTGTAGCATTAACGCTAACTAAGTACATCTTCGACAAACATGTTGTATACTTGAATACATAAAATATTGTGTGATATACTATGTAACATTAATGCTGAATAATTTTGTTTTAGATCCTAGTCAGCCACCGGCCCCTCTTCCTGTAGGTGGGAACATCCCTCAGACAACAACAAAATCTGAAGAAAAATTCTATTTTTCAATCCGAAACATCCACACAATGTCGCCAAGGTACATCGAAACCTTGCAGAAGAAGGCATTTTTGGTAATGAGAATGCTGGAGCACAGAATCGGTCAAGAGTTGCTACTGCAAGTATTCAATAAACAACTATCACTTGCCACAAATGCTGCTCAGCAGAAAATAGGTAGTGGATTGTGGGGAAATATGTTGATCAGTACTGATGTTTTTACCAAAGCCATTTTCACTGTGACTGGAAAAGACATGGCTGTGTTCATTGACCAATGGGTGAGGACTGGCGGGCATGCGAAATTTCATTTGGCATCCGTCTTCAACAGGAAAAGGTATGTGCGTCTTGCTTAAAGTTATACAATGGTTGCGTGTTCATTGTCAGTGGTAGTCATTAACATTCTAAAGCAATGGTTTTCAAAGTGGGGGTCGTGCCCGCCACTGGGCGTGACGACAAGTAAAGGGGAGGCACGGGCGACGCGCGGTGCGAGGAATAAAATCAGTTATAAGAAAAATTTAGTCAAGTCGGTAAGGGTCAATGAAAATTGATCAATGGATGGGTGATCTTGTATATTTCCCACAAGGCTGTCAATCAATGAAATACAACGCGGCGATTCAAACATAATATGTCATTGGGATACTATCACTGCATTGATTGATAAGTTGGAGCAAAATCTTATATGTAATTTTTCCAGATTTCCAAAATTATTATCGATAACAGAAGACGAGTGTTTCAAGATGGTTTGTGACTGTTATTAAGACCCCAGTATCAAACTATTTGCAGCATCTTATTGATGAATTCAAGCGTTACTTACCCAACTCCTACGATTATATTTTTTATCATTTGGCAATAGATCCTCTTTGCATTGAAATAGATGGATTTTCAGAAGCACTACAAGAGCAAACTCTGAAAATAAAAAATGATTCTTTTGTCAGATATGATTTTGAAAAGTTGAACAAGCGTTTTGGGTACCATGTCTCAGAATATCTTGTGTGAAAGGACATTTTCAGCATTTGTAGGAATAAAAACAGAATACAGAAACAAGTTCGGTATTGATCGTGATTTACGTTATGTACCTTCTTAGTTCAGTCCAGGATTGACAACCTTGTAAAAAACGGCGTCAAGTAGGCTGACTCTGCACTTCCCACGCAATCGCCGTCATCAGTTGAGGAACGAATATGTTCAGCACAAGCTAGACCATCTGACAAAAAAATTCCGTCCATATACATTCTTTCTCTGCCCTACTGGAAGTCCAGTACCTATGCTGGCAGTTTATTTTGAATGTCTTCAGAATGCCGCAGCAGCAAAAAGTGTTTACGCGATTCGATATCAAAATCTGCGTCTTTGCGATGTGAGAGTTTTTCCTCGATTAGTAGCGAGCTTACGAGCCAATGGTAGTTTTCGGCTTACGTTTCAACGGCAAAGAGTGGTAAGAATACACACAAAAAATATTAACCGCGTACTAGGGTATATTGAAGGGAATCCTCATCTTAGCACAAGGGCGTTATCCCTTGAGTTGGGCATATCACGAACAACGGTTCAAAATATTTCGGGAACAGTTCTTATGACCATCAAATTGTACGGACCGCCCAGACAAACAAATGACGAATAGTAGCCACCTTTAATAGCGACGGGAGAGACAATCTGCACAATATGCATTATTGATCTGCCGAAAATTCGCATTAGTTGCATGAAGTTCAGCATCAAGGGCTTTTGAGTTTAAATGTGTGGTGTGGCATACTGGGTGGCAGAATTATTGGGCCATATTTTTTCGAGCAATCCCTAAAAGGCAATGTCTTTCTTGTCTTTTTGAACAATCAATTACCGTTGTTGGAAGATGTGCCACTGGAAACACGGTAAAACTTGTTTTTGCAGTTGGATGGTTGCCCAGCACATTTTGCTATTGTGTGAGACAATATTGATGCAGTATTGTATGGATTGGAAGAGAAAGTCAGTTTCCATGGCCTTCGCGATCACCAGACTTGTCTTGATTTTTATTTATGGGGCGGTTAAAGGGCATCATGTTTCAGACTACGACCAGAGAAGATATGAAAAACCGGATTCGTAATCCAATACATAACATACCGAGAACCGAAATTGAAGCTGCAGCTGCAGTTTTGTCTATCCATGAGAGGCATTCTTTTTTAAGTTGGTCCTTTTTAGGGCACAACTTAGTAATAAAAAGAAATTCCAGAAAAATTAGTTAAAAAAAATTAAGGGATTTTCGTATAAAATATTTCTTGGCCTAAATTTTAGGTTAGGAACAAGATATCGAGATGAGGTTTTCCCGAGCTTGTTTAGACATCGTTTAGCTACTTTTTCATGAAAAAAATCATATATGCATTTAATTTTTTTGATAAAATCAACCATTTCTGTCAAAATGACGAAAACACCCTGTAGCGGCCAGATGTGAAACTAACAAAACTTCAAATATTATAACATTTGTAGCCCAAGATTAGCTCTTTTCAACTAGATCAAGTTTGTTAAAATCGGCTCAGCGGTTTCGAAGATACAGAGTGTTTTTTACGAAAACCTTTGAGTACCGCCCACCACTTTATTTTTAGAGATACAGCAAAAATTGTCAAACAAAAAAGGTTTAGATTACCCTCTAATTTAAAGATCAGGTAAGTTTTTGTTAGGTTAATATAACGGAATACACCGAAACATCACGTTTTAGTTATAACTGTTTTTGCCTCAAGTTTCTACGATGGATGGGATCCCAGATACAGTTCTTAGTATTCTTATTGGCCACCCTACATTCAAAAAATTATACCATCTCATTTTCGAATTTTTCCCTGATTACAATTACAAGTAGAGTTTGCTATATTAACTACTACACTTGCTCTTTTTATTCGCTCCAACACAGACACGAAATATTGGTAGAGACCATACATAAAAATATCAACCAAGGATCACCGGGAAGATTAACGAAATATATATCACCACACCTGTTTGCAGCTGCAGATCCCACACGGAAGAGATTGCACAAAATTAATTCTGGAAATACTTTTTTGACTTCTAATGTCAAAAATTAGGTCAAGCTAAAAAAAGGTTTTTAGGAGATTCCTGAATTTTTAGTTTGAATATGGAGGAAAATTCTAAAAAGGATGGAGCTAGTGAGGAAGTGGAGAGTGTGGTCTCACTGAGTGAAAAGGGATTTTGTACAGAGGAAGTTTTGAAACTAAAAGATTATACCATTTCGATTCAAGAGAAATTAATAAAAGAATTGTACGAAAAGATAGACCAATTAAACAAAAAATTTGGAAAATGCAACAGCCGTCACAAGAAGCAATTACAACTTACGCTAATATGGTTAAAGCTTCAGGGCCTTCAACCGTTAATTCGCCTACAAAAATGGTAGAATATAAGCAGCAAAGCGTACCAGTATTAAAACCCACAAATACAGTCATTGTTAAGCCTAATAACCAACAAGAGTGTAATAACACAAAGAAAGACATCGCAAAATTTGTGAATCCTACCAGTTTGAAAATTGCTATTGAAAAAGTTTATGAATTGAAAGATGGTGGGGTGAAAATCCAATGTAAAACAAAAGATGATAACGCGAAGCTACATAATGAAATAAAATCAAAAATGCCAGAAACATATACGGTGAAAACTTCAGAGATAAGTAAAAAACCACAAATCAAAGTTATTGGATTTTGTCCAGAATATGCAGAAGACGAGCTAATAAATACTATAAAATCACAAAATGAATCTTTTCAAGAAAATTCACATATGAGAGTAATTACAGTCAAGAAAATGAAAACTAAATATCAAGCAATTTTAGAAGTGGATGCTGTGTGTGTGTGTTATGAATCAGGGTGTTATTTTTATCGACATGTCTGTTTGCTCTGTTTTCGAGTACATCAATGTTTTGCGATGCTATAAATGTACCGGATTTAACCACACAGCTAAATACTGCACAAAATCAGGAAGATGTCTTACTTGTGGATTAGAAGGACATTCAACAGAAAACTGTAGTACCAGTGAAATGTACAAATACTGTCCAAATTGTAAAAGTGCAAACCAGGATTTTAATCTAGGATTACCTATTAATCATGGACCATTTGACAAAAATTGTGAAGTATATAAAAGGAAAATTGAACGTGAGAGGGAAAAAATTAATTATGCAAATGAATAGCAACTACTAAGCTCAGATTTGCAAGACGTGGCTAAATCTGTAAGTGATGAATATAACTCAATATACCATTTAAACATACAAGGAGTCCTAAATAATATAGATGAAGTTCAACAGTTTTTAAGATGGAGAAAACCACTTGTATTATGTCTTACCGAAACACATGCTACAGAAGACATCACTGATGGTGAATTACAAATTACTAATTATAAAACCCACAGATGCAACTCCAACTCCAGACATACTGGAGGTGTAGTGATTTATGTTTACCACAAAATACAGATCACATTATTCGATTGTACCACTTTAGACTATGCATACTGGTATGCACATATACAGTTCAAATTATTTGGGAAACGTTATGATCTTTGTACTTTTTACCGTTCACCAAACAGTGATGCAGATACATTTTTAACGTTTTTTGAAGAAAAATGCGAAGAAATGTGGAATTTTAGAAACAATATAATACTTTTAGGTGATTTTAATTTAAATTATTATGGTAAAAGCATGAAAACAAGAAAATTGAAAGAAACCATAAACAACTATGGGTTCAAGCAAAAAATTGAAGAGAGTACCAGAATAACATCATTATCAGAGACTTTGTTAGATCTTGTTATTGTAAATTTCGAATGTGCAGGGATTAAAGCTGTACATACACCTAAAGTTAGCGATCACAGTTGGACAATGCTGCCCTTGGTAGGGCATTTTTCTGATACAAAAATTAAGAAAACCGTAAATACTATTAAGTACGAAAAACTTGAACGAGAACTTGCTGGCTGCTATTGGAATTTTGGTGAGAATATGGAAAAAATATATGACAACATAATAGGAAATATAAAAACTTGTTTAGATCTTGCAACTGATAAAAAAGTGATTTGCTCGACAAAAAATATACCCTGGTATAACAAGAATATTAAGGCAGCTCAAAATTTGTGAGACAAACAATACAATAAATGTATATTCACAAAATCAAATGATGATTGGGAGGTATATAAAACTCTTAGGAATAAATGTGTATATGTAATTAGAGAAGAAAAAAGAAAATTCTACGATAAACAAATCGATAATAACAAGTGCGACAGTGTAAAGATGTGGAAGACTTTAAAAAGACTGATCAGTTCGAAGCCACATGATTGCGTAAATCAAGTTCAATTCGAAAACGGTACCGAAACAAATTCTTTGGTGATTGCAAACAAACTAAATGAATATTTTGTGGAAAGTATTGTTGATATTGTAGGTACTGCCAATGCTGCACCTGACTGTATGAAAATCAGTTTCCAGGGGGAAATGTTGCATACACTTTCAAAATTTCACAGCGTATCATTGAATTATCTAAGAAAAAAATTATACAGTTTAAAATCAAATAACAACTGTGCCGAAATGACTACTAAAAACGTGTTGAAAAACTGTTTCGAAATTTTGGGATATCCTGTATTAAATTGGATCAATTGTTCACTGAGAAGCAGTTCTTTCCCTGAAAATTTGAAATGCTCTACAATAACACCAGTTCCCAAAATAAAAAATTCTAAAAGATGCAGCGATATGAGACCAGTAAATGTGTTACCAGACATTGAAAAATTATTAGAGTCCATAGTGCATGACCAATTAATGCAGTTTATAGAAGAAAACAAAATTTTAGTGGAGGCGCAAGCAGGCTTTCGAAAAAAATATTCCACAGAAACAGCTTTCCAGTTGGTAACTGAGAATTGGAGAAGAGCCATAGACTCAGAAGAAGTTGTCATAGCAGTATTTTTGGATTTGAAGAGGGCATTTGAAACGATTGATAGAGATATTTTGTTAGGTAAATTGAAGGCATATGGTATAACAGGAAGTGTTTTAGATTGGTTTAGAAATTATTTGTCTAAAAGGATGCAAGTTACAAAAGTTAATGACACTATTTCATCAAAAATTGAAAATACGTTGGGTGTTCCACAGGGCAGTATCCTGGGACTTCTTTTTATTTTATACATAAATGATTTACCTGCCATAGTCAAAAAATGCAAAATTCAAATTTTCGCCGATGACACTATGATTTATATAAGTACTAAAAATATTCAGTCTGGCATCTCTTATATAAATGAAGACTTGAAGCTTGTCTCAAGATGGTTAGCATCTAACAGACTAAAATTAAATGCAAGTAAAACGAAAGCCTTGTTAATCGGAAAAAAACAATGTACAAATGTTCAACTGAATATTGATGGTGAAGATATTGAATTCGTAGAAAATTTTAAATACCTAGGAGTTTTTGTTGACTCTCGATTAATTTTTGATATTCATTATGAAAAAGTTATAAATAAGATTAGTAGTAAAGTGGGATATTTATCGAGAGTTTCTGGATGTCTGAGTTCATATAGCAGAAAAATTATCTATAATACCATCATTCTTCCAAATTTCTTGTACTGTTCGACTATTCTATATTTAGCAAATAATTCCATTTTTGAAATACTGAAAATTTTACAAAATAAGTGCATGAGAATAATACTAAATAAAGATAAATATACTCCAATTAGGCAAATGCTTAGCAAATTAAAATGGCTCAATGTAAAAAATTTTATCAAATATCTTGTAATGATATTCATTTATAAAGTAAAAAATAATATAATTCATCATCAAATGTCGACCATCGTTTACATAATACCAGAAATAAAGATGACTTCCATTTAATGACCAAAAAGTATAACATATGCTACAAATCTGTATTCCATCAAGGGTTGATTGAATATAATAAATTATACTCGGAGATAAAAGACCAGAAAACTTTGACAAAATTTAAAGTAAAATTGAGAAATCACTTGTTAAATCTACAATTATAGGTTGCCCAGCATTTACATCATATACCATATGGCTTAAATTTACTAGTTCTAAGTTGTTTACAATTGTTCTGTTTATGTAGCCAAATGTGCTAAATAAATCTTTCTACTACTACTACTACAATACTTCCTCGCCAGTATGGCGTGGGATGTAAAAATATGCATTCAACAAGAAAATTCTTCCTTTTTTCATAATATTACATACTTATGTAAAATGATTTTTTATAATAAGGCCTTTAATGAAATTTGTTACTTGTTTTTCTTATTCTTTTTACATGTTACCACCTACTTACGCCGGGGAGAGGGAAGTTGGACATTATGATGGTGCTGTGGCTCATTATAATGGCCAACGCGTTAAGTTCTCAATTCACGATCGCTCTACCATACTAAATTTGATGCAGTCACAACTACAGATTGATAATGCCAATAATAAATTCGCCTCATACATTTTTAGAAAGGGTGTGGGTTGATAAGGAAGCTTTTCGGTACTGAAAATACATTTTATGTGTATGTGGCCTAGCGTATTTTATTATAGATTTGGAGAGAGGAGTGTTACAACCACGCCCCCATATAAAAATAGTAAGTTCTAATTAGCCACCTTCAAAAAAATTGATGAATTTTGTCACAAAAATCCATAATTGATTTTATTCGCAGCTAATATTCATTAACAAGATATGTTTCATACCTTACAGGGTCTGTCCGGAAAGTAATAGAGCAGTCGATTAAAAAAAATTATTGAGCCAATCGTTACAATTCTTTCAAAACTTTAAAAATAGGCTCCTTCTGCGTCGATGCAGCGCTGCCAGCTCGATTTCTAAGCATCGAAGGCGTCACGGAAGGCATTCTCCGGAATAGCCTTGAGAGCCGCGGTGCATGCTGCTTGGATCCCCTCTGAAGTCTCAAAATGCTTGCCTTTCATCGACCTTTTCAGTCGGGGGGGGGGGGGCACATCTGGGCTGTAGGGCGGCTGCGGAAGCGTTGGGATGCCGGCCTTGGTCAGGTAGCTGTTCACAAGAAAGGCGGTGTGAGCCGGCGCGTTGTCGTGATGCAACTTCCAGTCGGCTGCGATGTCTTGTCGGACCCGACTGACCCTTCGTTTGAGTCTTCTGAGCACTTCCACGTAAAACTTGGCGTTGACGGTTTGTCAATTCATGGTGGACGATGCCTTTGATGTCAAAAAAGACAATGAGCATCGTTTTCACTTTGGATTTGCTCATTCTTCCCTTTTTTGGGCGAGGAGACGCCGTCGTGTACCACTCGGAAGATTGCCTCTTTGTCTCGGGATCATACTCAAAGATCCACGACTCGTCACCTGTGATTACGTTATTAAAAAATTGGGGTCACTTTCACACATGTTCAAATTTTCTTGGCACACTTCCACTCGCCGCAATTTTGGGACCATCTTCGCGCACACCTTGCGCATCTTCAAATGCTGTGTCACAATGTCGCGAACCACAGATTTTGGTAAATTTAACATCTGGGCAATTAAACGAATACTTAGTCGACGGTCTGAGTTTAAAACTTTGCGCACACGAGCCACATTATCGGTGTTTGTCGAAGTCGAAGGTCTTCCAGCACGGTCTTCATCAGCGACATCTTCCCGCCCTCCAAAAAGGCCTGGTGCCACCGAAACACACCTCTTCTTGCTAAAGCAACACCTGGGTAAGCCTGCTTGATCATATCAAACGTCTCTGTCACAGATTTACCGAGTTTCACACAGAATTTAATCGCGTACCTCTGCTCTAACGAACCCTGCATTTTCGGCTTGTACCACTCACAGAAACACGTCGCGCGAAATGCCTGTCCTGACTCTCCAAGTGTTCGGAAACAACTGACCAGCCGCTCATTCGTTAGCTAGGAACGCCCTCTACCGAATCCAGTCGGTGCGCGCACGCTCCGAAGTACAGTCATGGCGGAAGAAAATGAGTCCTATTACTTTCCGGACAAACCCTGTACATGCCAAGCTCTTCTCAGAACTTGGCTATGTTGTGAATTAAGTAAATCCCCACAAGATGTATAAATAGTTTTTCCAGATCCACGTTTGTTACAACAGTTAATTATTAGCAATAATATACAATAACGTTCAGATTCAAAACTATTTCAGGAACACTATAGAAGTAGAGATCCGTCAAGATTGTACCAATCAGCTAGGTATTCGAAAATACGTCGGACCACTTTTAGTTCAGCTGCAAGAGCTTGATGGTACGTTCAAACACAACCTACAAATTGAAAATACAGTAGTTAAGGCCGACATTACTTGCCATTCCAAAAGCAGGAGGAACAAGAAGAAGAAGATTCCTCTTTGCACAGGAGAAGAGGTTGATATGGATCTTAGCGCTATGGAGTGAGTAATATCAACTAATTTATAGAGCAGATATTCGCAATTATTATATATTAAACGCCTAGTCAATATTATCAAACTTGGGGATCACGGTTGGTCGGGTGGGTCAGAGTAACGTGCTTCTGATCCGGGTTCGAATCTTGCCTTGGGAAATATCATTCCGAAGCAATGGATGTTGTGGCGTCTTCTGTTTGTGCATAATTAGAGATATGCATATATATATATATATATATATATATATATATATATATATATATATATACAAGATTGGATCTAGCTAATGAGACCTTTGTCCTAGTGCAAAAAAAAACTTATAATTTGAAGAACCAGAGAATACATACCAGGAATCAGTAGTTTGTATTTGTACTTTAAAACACAATATCGTGAATGAGGAGAGAAACCCCAACTCAGAGGAGCGAAGGCTATTTAATATTACCTTCTCTTTTGAAGGCGTGCGAGTAAATGTCTAATTCAGGCTCCCCCATCATTTGCGGAACCTTCTGCTTTTGATTATTAACACTTCAAATTCGAGCCTCACCACTGAGATCTCGGAAGCGGTAAGAGATACAAATCATTTAAATGGGGGCAAAGTTTCGTATTTAGGTTACCAACAAAATGCCGCTTAGAAAGTTTCGAAGTTTAAAGTACTTCCGGAGAGAAACAGAAAATCTGAAATTTTCCAAAATTATTTTAATTTTTTCCTGGTTTTACTTGTAGTAGGATTTAAAAATAAATTTTGAACATTAGCACTTCCACTTTTTCACCCCTATAAGATGGCATAATTAGAATTTCAATATAATTTTTCGTGTCTTATCCCCCAGCATCAACTTTATTTTTTGTCGTAGACGCCAAATTGGATTTGTTTTTTTATACCGAAGCAGACGCGCAGGCACAAGCCTGAATGCCAGGACATCGTGACTGCTGTGTAGATTGTTCCACAATCTTGACACCCTTGGCACATAAGAGCGGTCGTATCGACCAGTTCTGGATGTACGACGTTTGACACGGTTAGGGTGGGAGGCCGAAGTCAGAGGCGTCTGTCTTGCAGGCACGTCGCGCGGCGGCATCATGGAGGAGAGCTCCGAGGAGCAAATCTTGTGGGTGTAGCGGTAGAAGCGAGCTAGATCGCCGACGGACTGCCGGTGCGAAAGGGTCCCGGGACTGTGTTAGAGAAGAGTAATCGATCAGTCGAACAGCGCTCCTCTGTACAGCATTAAGCATAGATAATGTAGTCGGGGCGGCAACACCCCAAACGTGTGAAAAATAGTCGAAGATAGGTCTTATCTGGGCCTTGCATAGAGTGAGGAGGTCATGCGGATAAAAGTTCTTCTTAGTCCTAAACAAATAACCTACCTTTCTCCCAGCAGCTGCCGCTATTGACGAGATGTGGTCCGAAAGGAGCGGCTCTTTTCTGAACTCGCTTTCTGTTCCTCAAGGTATAGTACTGTGTTTTGGAAGAATTGAACTGTACAAGACTGTTGCGTCCCCAAGCATTGATAACCTCCAGGTCTCGTCAGAGAGGAAGTCACCACTAGACTTCTTTTTCCAACTCACTGGCAGAGATCGGCTTGTTGCTATGAATTCCTGCATGTAGAGTGCTGTCACCAACAAAGCTATGAATTGGTTGATCGTACAGGAAAGGAGGTCGTTGATATGTAAGAGGAACAGAGTCGGAGCCAAGACGATCCCTGGGGAATACCTGCGTTATTGTGGGATGAAGCGGAAAACCCGTCATTTACGACGAATATCTTGTGGTCAGAGAGAAAGTCAGCCACTCAGCTGCAAAGCTTTTCTGAGAGGCCATAGGATGGAAGTTTGCTTAAGAGGGCAGCGTGACACAGCGGATCGAACGCTTTCGTGATATCAAGAGCCTCCCATAATATTTGATGAGTGTTACTGCACAATTGCATGACGTAAGCTACGAGGATCGCTGCTGCCGGAAACCGTACTACCTGTCGCTAATCAAGCCGTGACGTTCTAGGTAGTCCAGAAGCTGGCGATTTATGCACCATGCTCCATCACTTTACTTATAACAGAAAGCAGAGCTATATGCGTATAGTTGTAAGCCTTATTCGTACAGCTGTCGCCAACCTGTCAGTGATCGTGTCCAAGATCCCGCTACACAAATTCCGTTTTCATTCTGTTACGCTATATAAGCGGAATTCACACGGCCGGGTCCCTGACACAGTTACCAACAAGTCACCGACCTACTGTTCGAACAAAACCAGCAAGGGTTCGCTCTTAGATCCTTTTTGTATATGAGCAAATTTCCAGTTTTCTGTGGGGTTTTGTAAGAAAGTTCGGTGTGACTTGATCTTCTGTTGGCGAGCAGT